CCTATTCAGACTTGCATGTCTAGCAAGAGAGCAAAAAGAATAAATAGATATTGGAGGAAAAAATGAAACTGTAATAAGGTTATCCACGCTAAGAACATTGTGAGGCAGTTGAAAGATGAAAAGTTATTGAAGTTAAACATAAAGTCATGATAACCAGTTGAAAGATGAAAAACTATTTAGGCTAAAGTGGTGATAAACACATGGAACTATTCAAAATAATTATTCTTATTCTTTATTACTTATGTTATTTTATTTGTCATACATTTGGTCAACCACCTTTCATTTTTTTTAAGTACTTGGTAGAATACACATCCACATATATACTCATATTTCGCACACATCCACACATGTATTCCAAATAACACATGTCAACAATCTTCAAATATTCACATTCACATTACAATTATCCGAATTATACAAAGATCATTATCCATAAAGTACAAATTGTCATCAAAATAATTGTTTCATGCATGCTATATTCATTTGAGTTTTATAAAATCATGAAGTACCAAACCAACTCCTAGTCTTTTACTTTCTTCTCAATGTTGAAAAGTGTCACATTGACACTTGGGCATAACATAACGAATTGAGACATAGTCTCTGGAAAACCTTCCTTGTATACATTCAATAGTTGTGTTTCAGGCACACGTAATTCTAATTCAAGCTTTCCACTTCTTCAATCGTGCTGCTCTCAGCCTCAGCTAGCTTCATTTTCAATTTACCTTTTCCATGTTCTCTTCCTCCCAGTATCGCTTATGTGTGCCTCAATTTCCTTCAGCACCCTTTCCAAATTTAAAACATGATTAGACAACTTAACATTTTGTTTCACCTTCTCAGACAAAGTTGTTGTGTGATCATCAAGTTGACGTTAAGGGGCGACCTTCTATTGCTCTACCTCGTCCACCTTAGCATGACCATCATGAACTTACTTAACAACTACTTTCTATTGATGACATATTGTCTTGATTTGAGCGGTCATGACCTCAGTTTAATCTAAATGGTCATAAGGATCAACTGCCTTCAATAAATTTTGATCAAAAGTAGGTGGAAAATTCACACCCTTCTGCACATTATTTACTGACATTTTCACATGCCAAAGTGAATTTACCCCTCGAGCACTAATCGACGTATAGTCTACTTGGTCCAAAGGATCATCTCGGTGCAACATCAATGAGTCCATCATTGAAGGGATAACTTGAAGAGAAACATCGAAAGGGACATCGAAGATAAACACTTGTTTACGATAAAATGATGAGTAAAACACCTCTGATATTGTAATGACCATAGGCCCGAGCTCAGTAAGGGGAGAGATGACCTTAACTTTCTTGGAAGGCCTCTTAGTTGGCTCTCGAACAGGAGCCGATGAACCTTTAAGTATCAACTTAGTTAGAGAAGTCTTCATGTTCAAGGAGTCATAATAGCTTGGCACAAATCTTCTTATAGTCGAAAAAGCTTCCCATAATCTCTGAAACATAATGGTAAATATTATATACACTTATAAAGTATAATAATATCATCACAAGGACAAACATCTCACCATTAAATTGAGACACTTGGTCTTCGACATAAGTGATAGGAAAAATATCTTTACAACTTATAGGTCAAGATAATTCTTTTAATAAAATTATAGATACTCGGTCCTTGACAGAAAGCAAATGCTCGGGACGAGACTTAAACTTAATTGGAATCATTTAATATAACGGAAAGCGTAATAAGTTATTGGGGTAGTAGAATAGAGATTGCAAAGGAGTCGTGACACTATACCTTACTAAAAAACAATTCTTAAATGATTGAGTGTACATAATAAACAACTTGCCATGTTGGGAGCCATTGAGAGAAACTCAGTCGATATCAAAGTCATAATTCAATTGATAAAAATACATAAAGACATCAATTAAAGAAAGAAACACAAAATTTGAAAAGTCTTCAAGAAAAGCCTAGCTATTATAGCATCTTGCACTCAAAGATAGTGGAGGGTAACAAAATCTCTAACTCTTTAAATAAACACTCATATACAAAAGTGAAGTTCACACCATTAATCTTCGACTTCATATAAACCCAGTTGGAGGAAGAACACGACTCAATAGTAACCAAATGAGCATAGGACGATTCACATATATCAAAAGATTTACAAAACTCTCTATAGCATAAGTTGAAGTTTACTTCAACCTATAATGGTGTATCTCATTTAATATCCAATAATACTCGAGATCAAGGATAAGAGCAAATCTATCCTTGTTTTTAACCTTAATGCCTTCACTATGACCAACTACATTATGTTTCTGTGACCCTTGACCCATTTTGGATTTATCCTTGCGTTTTCAAAATAACAACGGTAGAAACCACCATCGAAGCAGCCTTAAAGGTCACTTACACCTCTTCAGAAGACGCATACACATCTTTGACACTATCAGAAGATGTGGCGCCAATAAAGTGTACCTCCTTAGAAACAAGAGGCGACACTCACTCCAAAGAATTGAAAAAAAACATGGACAGACATTTCCAAAATGAAAGATTAAAAGTAATTAGGTACCCTGTAACGACAAAGGTGAAAGAATAATGTAGACGAAGAGAAAGAAGACACTTGACCACAAGAATTATAGAGAATGTAAAAGAGTTATAAAGAATGTAAATAGAAGATGAAAGAGCAATGCAATAAAAGGACAACACAATAAAGATGGAAATAAAATATTTTTGAATAAAATAACATAAAAAAATGATTATCAATTTTCCCTTAATTAATGTAGTGTTAAACTCTAAAAAAGTAATATGATGAGAACATGATAAACTCTTTTGTCTCTATTAATATCATACCTACATATATCATAGACTTTAAGGTCGAGGGGCTTGTGTACCTGACCCTAAAACAAGTTTTAGGGTATAACAGTTAAGATACTTAGAGAAAATACCTCAACAATACCCAAGTATCTTAACAACGTATGAGATATTCGAATACTAACTTATTTCAAGATACATGAGAGACAACTCAAAATATCTTAAATAATATTTTATAGATCCTGGACACTTAAACATGTTTGATATTCTTTCTATTTCATTTCATCAAATGTTTTAATGTTTACTTTTTCATTTATTGACTTAAATATCGAAAAGTCTTTTATAAATATTCTTCATTAATATTTATGATTTTTGTCTCCCATTATTTTTAAAGTTTTGTAACTTTTATTAACATTTATGATTTTAACTTGTCAAACTTAATGATTATTAAATATATATAATTATATATTTACAAATTTGACCTCTTACTATTTCATATTTTTTATTTTTCATATTTATTTATTATTTATTTATAATATATTATTTGACTCTCTCAAGATCAATAATCAACATCTTTCACTGTTTTATTTATCCTCCCAACCTTAAACACTTTAGGTAACTTTATATTTCAATAGTCGATAATATAATAAATTTAAAAGTAAATGCTTTTTTATCCTTTAAATTTTTTATTATTTTTTAAATGTTATAAATAAAAAATGAATAATTTATAAAATTATTTTTTAGGAATTTTATTTAAACTATATGATTAAATTAAAAATTTCATGTATATCAAAATAATAAAATTGATCACTGGTTTTGAAAAATGAATAAATATTATTTTATAAAACGTTTTAAATAATAACAAATAGACTGAATAATATTTCTCATCTGATGTATATATTTTTTAATTAGTTTTTAATTAAACAAGTTCTTGAAACACGTGTTCATCGAGATATTCTCATCGCCATGAAAAATATTCGAGAAGATAATGAGGAGAAAACTCTATTCTCATTTCCATGGATAAAGACTGAGAAGAAGATATCGGCTCAGATCATTACTTAGTTTTTTTGTTTAGACTATAGATTATTTCGTGCTTATGATTTTTTTAACATGAGTCAAAAGCAGTTCAAAGTCAAGTTTTGAAAATAAAATGTAGCAGACCATCTCATATGTTATTGCTTATTTATATAAAAACAATAATATTATTTTTCACGATAAAATAGATTCTGAATTTATTCTTCTAAAAAATTTTAAAATAACCTTTTTAAAATATCTTGTAAAGTTTTTGAAAAATATTAATTTAAAATATTAAAAAATGTATTATAAAAAATTAATTTTTTTTATATTAGTGTTTAAACTATAAAATAATATTTTGAATTTTATATTTTAAAATTTTAAAAAATTATATATTTTTAGATTTATTAATTCAAAATTTTTTACTTAAAAATATATTTTTAGATTATTAATTCCATAAATAAATAAAAATGTTATATTTTTTTACATAAATACATTTGCAAATGCAGCTAAAATGTTGTTATTGTCAAATTCTCTTTCTTTATACGTACACACATACCAATTCTTACTCTTGAATGAAATGTAAGTTTTATTAATCTGACTGTTTAATTATAATTATTCACTGTTTTAATTATTTAAGTAAGATTTTATAAATTCATAATTACACAGATTTTATTTTGGTATATTTCCAATATATATATACTGCTAGTTTGGGAATGCATCATTTCAGCAGTTATTTGCTTTAGAATTTAGTAAAGTTTAAAGTTCTTTGCTTATATTATACCAAGAATAGTTTGTTTTTTTATTTTTTGTTTTTACTTTTTACAAAATTTTCACGTTTATTTTTTTCATTTCTTTTGTTTTCAAAAGTTGTACAAAACAGTGAAAACAATTGTTTTATGTCCTTTATCCTTTAATTTTTATAATAAAAAACAGCTAATAGGGTTTTTTTTAGTATAACTAGAGTAGTAATTTTGGTTTTTACCTACTTAAGCATGTTGCTTACAAAATACATATTTTTTCCTAATATAACTGTGTCATGTTTAAAAGATAATAAATAACTAAAAAGCTACATACTTACATGTAATTAAATATTAAGAGATTAAAGTTACATTAAAAAATTTAGAGACGGAAATTATAATTACAAATATTATAAAATACAAAGACAACAAAAATTGAAAAAAAGAAAAAAAAAAAAAAGTGGGAGAAAAATGCACTGCCGAAATCAAATCCTGCGCAAATTGTCACTCCTTATTGGATTTGGACATTGGAATGGAGAGAGAAGCAAAAGAACGGAACTCAGCACAGTTGAAGGTAGATCTGGTGTGGGTCACCACCCGATAAAGTCATGCACCCGCCGACCATCTTTATCCACGTAGGCGCCGAATATTCAACACTTGGTTAGCGCATCACATTCACGTCAATTCCATCGGTGCATTTCTATTGGTTGAAACCCCACCCGTCCATGATTAATCCCACACCGCAGCACACTGGATTCCACACCGTCCTTCACACTATATATACCGTACGCAATGATCACCCCCATTCATCGTGCTTAATGCTTACACCGAATGAATATAATTTGAATTGATTAGCTCCGCGCAAATGGATAATGAGCAAGGTGAGTTCCAATGAGAAAGAGTGAAATGCTTTTTCTCAGTTTTTTTATTCTAAGAAATCAAAACATGATGATGACGATGAAGATTTTCGGGGCTGAGTTTGTTTTTTCGTGTTTTTGCTTCGGTTTTAGTTTGACGTTTTTGGATTTTGGCATTTGCAGCATTTGAGTTTCTCGGTTGCGTTCCTCTTCTGCAGAGGCTTCCGAGCTCGTCTGTGAGGAAGATAGCTCAACTTGTGAATGTCAAACGCTATGGTAATTTTACCGTTTCTTTTAGGACTGTAGTTGTAAATTGCACTTGCAGTAGTAATCACATTGTGATAATTGATTAACGGTGCGATAATTAATGGTGATACATGAAAATGCAGTGAAGCGGCTAGGTAATTGACTAATTGGTAGTGGTTACGGAAACCTAAAAAATTGCAATGCTACATAATCGTAATTGTGGACAGTGATTTAAGACCGTAAAATTGGAATATGTGCCATTAATTATCTTATAATGTACGGAGAATCGTTTTTAAATTTAACTGGAAGATACATGGATTAATATTTTAATTGTTGATTGATGGATTCTTGTGTAGAGCCGGGAGAGTATGTTGTTCGTGAGGGTGAACATGGTGATGGCGTGTACTTCATATTGGATGGAGAGGTATGCTTGTATCTTTATGTTATTAGACGTTAGGGAAGCAAAAACTGTTAGTCTGTCAGACAGGTTTCATTGGGTTGCCTGTGGATTTGTGTAGGACAGTTTTGATAAGACCCATGATGCAAATATAATGGCATAGAGTTGGATAGATTATCTATTGCCAATCTTATTTGTTTATTGCTCTCATCTCCAACTGAATTTTTTCTGATTTTCTTAAAAAGTTTATTATCAAAGATCTGAGTTAAATTTGTTGTGATCCCCCTATTTGTCTGTTTAACTCTTAAAAGAGGTTACAAAATGAAAACAAATTTTGTAATTATTAGTAACAACAGTAAATAAAACAGTTTTGTCAAATAGGCCATTAACCTTTACTAAAGAACAGGTCATGAACTTAACTACCCCAGTGGCTTAAACTTACGAGTGAAACTGCATGCATGGCTTTATATTTACCAGTAGCATTTCATTTAACAAATTTATGCTCATAATCCTGTTTTATTGCTTGTAGGCTCAGGTTGTTGGATCTGTTAGTGCCAATGATGAAAATCGCCCAGAGTTCCAGTTGAAAAGATATGACTACTTTGGTTATGGTAGTAAACCTTATTCTTATAATTGCACTTTACTGTTTAGTATTTTTCTCTCATCCCATTGGCTACATACTTGTCTGGTAGTTCGTACATTATTTGGTTAATCATAATTATTTTCTTCTGCTGCACAGCAAGTATACTAGTTTAACATTTTCCTAATTACACGTTAAATTTTACTGCTCTGTAAAGCATTTGTCTTTCTGGGACATGGATGCTTAAAGTTAGCAGGAAAAGGATTGACTAGTTTTTGGTTGCAAAAAATTCTCCAGTCCTTTATTCTCTGTAATATAATTTCTTGTTACCACAAATTTGTAGGACTTTGCTGCTGTAACTGCTATGTTTCTTATTATCCACTTACCTTTTTCTGAGTGTTAGTTGGATATTCATTTGCCAATTACACCTATTGTCTTGTTCAAAATTCTTGTACATAAGCTTTTGCTTTTGTCTTGAATTATTTTCTGTCATTGGGGACATGAGAATAGAGTGAACTTGCTAATTGCAGGTTTGTCAAACACAGTTCACCAGGCAAGTGTTGTTGCTATATATAAGGTGCCCTTTTAGTTTCTTGTCCTACTTTTGCTTTCCAATGTCAAAAACTCAGGTTGAATGTACAAGCAAATCACCTGAGATCACTTAATGAAATGAATTATTCAATCCTGCAGTGACATTTGTTGTTTGATGTGGCAGCTGACATGCTTAGTGCTTCCCCAAGAGCACGCAACACTACTGCAGCCAAAATCTATCTGGAGAGCAGAAAATGGTGTCGAGACATGCTCACCTGTGGAGAATATATTGCATTTGGAACACTTGGAGGTGTTTCAATATATATCATTAATCTTATTATTGATTTCTTCTTGTTGAGGTGTTTACACGGTGAGGCTTTTATGGAGTGATTATTTGTGCAAGAAAAGTAATTGTACGTTTAACTGCCTAGTTAGTACTAATTTTGACCAGCATAGATCTTTTCACAACTTGTTTTGTGCATGACCTTCAGAAAAGACATGCTAACATGCATACAGGTGAAAGATAAAAAAAAAAATGTTGGGAAAGAAAAGATGATTCAGGAATTTAAATATTGTTGAATATGGATCGATGTTTGATTGATTGCTATTAGAAAGGGTAAATATTAGACTGATATGGATATCCTGGTTCTCTTTGATGGTAAAATTTTGGTATATTCGTTGATACATATGATGTATCTTTGATTGTATGTATTAATACCCTGGAAATAAGCCCTAAAGCATTTAGTTATTCTCTTTGGAAGGTAGATATCTTCCGAGGAATTACCCTTCCAGATGCTCCAAGATTTGGAAAGGTGTTTGGGGGGCAGCTGATTGGACAGGTATGATTATAATTTAAGCATGCTACTCATGTCAGTGGTACCTGTGATACATATATTAATTACTGAAATATGTGTGCAGGGACTGGCCGCAGCGTCAAAATCTGTTGACTGTCTAAAGGTTGTTCATAGTTTGCATGCCTATTTTATTCTTCCTGGGGATTTAAAAAGTAAGCATGTTTGGTCGCTGGATTCGACTTCTGTTTTTTTTTTTTTTTTTTTTTTTTTCATTTTACTCCTTTTCCTGAATTAGACGTATTAATTACTCATTTGACTTCCTTGTCCTATTATAAGTTCATCAACTATGAAACTTGAAAGCTATGTTTTCTTTTTCTGATCCTGCCCATTAATTTACAATAAAAAAATAAATTTTGGTATAAAGTTAATTTTAACCATAGAAAATTTCCTTTTTAAAAAAACTATTATAATTCAACTTAGAAGTTGAAAGAGACTAACCTACTAGGATAAGTTTAACAGCAAAGGGTTTAGGTAGTTTATGTCAGGTTTTAGTTTCAGATTTCATTATTGCTATTGCACACAAAAAGAAGTAAATTGAAACTAAAGAAAACTTTTGATACTAGGGATCCCTGCATATAAATTCAACACCAATTTCATTTCACCATGACTCCATACTTGTTTAAGTTGTTTACCTGATCATACCATTGCCTTTGATATTACTTGTTGAGAATTAGAGGAAGTTGGTCCTAGTGTTGGTCGCCTAGTCACACTGTTAGTTCTAATGCCACTTGATGGAAATACAAGGAGGGTAAAACACTGGGAGATTTTTATAAATGGGCTACGAGAAAAACATGTTAGTGAATTTATCAACACATTTAATCCATAACTTTATGGCACTAAATTTATGGGCATTCTCATTTATATATTGTTCAATTTGTCCAGTTTTATCCATTGTGAGATGTCATATTTACACATCAAACAATTAGTCCTATTGGTTTGAGTTGTCATTCATTGTCCAACAGATGGTGAAGACTTTCTTGACTATGAGGACTGAATTTTCTGCCCAAAAGATATGGGCACCAATGTTGTATGGACATCACTAAAGCCATGAGCACCTTGTAAATTGATTTCAGCAAATTATTATCTAAAACAGCCTTGCTATATAATAAGCAAGGTGTCTGCACTGTTGCATTACAATAGCCCAATGCCTGCCCCAAAGCATCACATTCAACTATGAATGGTTGAGAAATTAGGTGTCACTTAAACAGGTCTCACTAACAATCTTTGCTGCAATGCCTCAAAGGCTCGTAGTGTATCTAACATCCAGTGAAATTCTGTCCTTTTTTAAGAAAAAATATATCAGTGAGTATTTTCAATCTCTGTATGGGTCATTAGCGGAATGCCATACTTTATTTTAAGCTATATCTTGTTATCATGAATTGCATGTGCTAGGGCTCAGTTGGAAAATATTTTGTGAGCTAGTTTTCACGTTGACTTTCATAGTTTCTGCCAAAGAGTAGACCCGATATTTTGTCCTTTTTAAAATGATTAACTTTTGAGTAATTAATGTCATATTCTTTATGATTGATTTGATAAAGTCTCATGAGTGAATTCCATTATTATCATACTTGTAATGGAAATTTTTTTCAGTGCTTTATCTTGTAAATAAATTATACATAGTTTGAACATTTCTTTTTGCAGTTCCAATTACATATCAAGTTTATCGTATCCGTGATGGGAAGAGCTTTGCTACAAGGAAAGTAAATGGAATTCAAAAGGGAATTGTCATATTCACATTGCTGGCTTCATTTCAAGTAACTTTATATTCTTTTTGACTTAGATGAATTTAAATTTTTTTAGTAATTATTTATTTTATTTAGTTGTGAGTATAGCCTTATGTGCGCTTTCTCTCCCCCACCCCCCACCCCCTCCTTTATATTTATATTTTATTTCTTTCTTGTATTTAATGGAATATAATCTATCATTGTTATTTTCTTAATCTACAGAAAGAAGAATCAGGGATGGTCCACCAGGAAGTAACTATACCATCTGTCCCACCACCAGATAAGGCAAGATACAACGTTATGTCTGTTACAATTTTTGTTACTTTAGATTTCTGATTATTAATATTTTTTTATCTGTTGCTTATAGCTTCTGCCAATGGAAGAGCTACGGGAGAGACGTCTTACTGACCCTCGTTTACCAATGTAAGATTTATTTTGAAGAACTTGTTTGATGCATTATTGTTCTATATGACTATGTTTGCCTTTATTTATCTTTTTCTGTTTGTGTTTTTTATTGTAAAGCGGTCATGGGATCTCTTCTATTTATCATAATGTATCATCAGTCACAACTATATAAAGGCTATACATGAATGTAAATTTGTTTTTTGTCCATTGGGATTTGGGTTATACAACATATCCTTCCCTTTAATCCGATCTTGCTTAAGATTTGAACCTGGGACCTCCAAGTTGGGGTGCCTGGTCTTTACTCATTAAAAGATTTCCTTGGGGACAAAACCAGAAGAACTTTTAGCCTATGGAAACTTTATTTATAACTTGTAAGGATTTTGCTAGCTCCTTTTTGGTGTACAATAATCATATTAAGTTTCAAAATATGATTACTGAAAAAGCAAGACATCAAGGAAAAGACTACCCCTCATTTGTACTTGGTGATTTCAAAATTGTATATTTTACACTTGATGTATCTGATCTTCAAAGGATAATATCACTAGATTTCTAATTGAAGACACTTAGGCTTCTTCAGCTAGAGTTGTTGGGCTATCCCTGTTCAGTTTTTTCTTGCTTTTTTGTAAATCAATTAAATGCTGCTTTTAGTTCATTTTATATTTTCAGTTGTCCCAACTGCCTACTAATATGTGCCAGGGTTTGAAAGATTTGCATTCCCATTCCTTTTGTTTTGAAAAATAATGAATTCATGGTTGTAATAATTTTTTGGTTTTAGACATTATGGACTTTGGAAAAATTCATCAAGAACAAATCTTTTTTTTGGTATTTATAGTGTGGTATTTTTTTAAGATGTTATAGCACTAAAAAGAAATTATTAAATTGGTGGATACACCAATTCCAAGGATATTCTGCATCAATTAAGAACTGCAGAATTTTTAAGATTTTTTTTTTTTTTTTTCTAATTCCTAAGAAAGTTCTCTTAACCACATAGAATAGACCCAGTGCAAAAGTAACGTTTTCTGATTGTGAAATGGTAAAACTGTAGAAAACATCACACCATATAATCTCACTGGATATTGTTTCTTTTTAAGTACTGATATGAAATAGGCTCTAGTATTGTGAGAGAATAAGTCCAGTCAAGAGATTATCAAAATGATGTTTCTTTATGGATTTGTTTGGTTTGAGAGTTAAAAAAAAAAAAAATTATTTCTTTTTTTTCAATCATGTTTTCAAAATTGCATCTTGTTTTAAATATATCTTTTGTTTTCAAATGTTTGTATAGGAAATACTGAAAACAACAGAATGTTTTAATCATTTCTTATACAAACCTTTGAACACAAGAAACAAAGTGACACTTTTGTAATTATTTGTGAAAACAGGAAGTAAAAACATGTTTTCCCAAACTATACAAGCCCATAAATATTATCCTGAGAAATTTTGAATTAACTAATTGAAAAATGTAAGAAAACTGTCATGATTTTCAGGTTTCTGTGTCAGTATTAAAAAAATAGAGTTATGGTTATTGAGGGACCCACTGTTACATAGTTACCTACGGGATGCTCTTTTAGATGTAAGGATTTTCTGTCAAGACTTTTTTTTTTTTTTTACCAAAGGGAGAGATGATTTTTAACTATGTTGATAAGTTGCATGATGACTTTCTGAATTATAATGACTGTTGCCTCAGAATCTACCGGAACAAAGTAGCTACATCTCAATTTATCCCCTGGCCCATAGAGATACGGTTATGTGAATATGAAATGTCAACAAATATGACAAAATCTCCTCCCAGGTTAGCTTGATGCTCTCTGTCTGCAATTTTTCGCTTACTTTGTATACTGAGCATTTATGCAATGTACTGATTTGGAAGGGAGCATCGCAGTCCTTTCTCAGCAAAGCATTTTTCCGAATGTAACCTTGACGTCTGCTTTTTTAAATGATAAATATTATTTGAAATTGTGTAAGTATTATTTGCAGTTTGAGATACTGGTTTAGAGCAAAGGGAAAACTTTCAGATGATCAAGCCTTGCATAGGTACATATCTTGTATATTTACTTTTGATGTGTTTGGTTCTCCATGTTTTATAGCAGAATTGGATATTGAATTAGAACTTTTTAACTGATTTGTCAAAGCCAACGCTTGTATCTGTTGCAGCCCTGTGAGATTGCTGGAATGCATGTAATTTTTTGCCTACTTAAGCAGTTTGAGTATTGTTAAAAACTCTGTCTTGCTACTGAAAAACTCTTTTCCTGATAAAGGAAGTACCACGGATTGAAGAAATGGAAATTGCCAAAAATCTGGTTGTACCAAATGCATGTATTTTGAACCTGATTCCGTGGATGATGTGATACTCTTCAGCATACTTAAAAAACAAGTAGATAAAAATTTCCAAGATTGAAGAATTCAAGAACTGATATTTGATTTCTTTCATTTCATTAGTTTTTCATACTTTGCATTGCAGGTGCGTGGTTGCATTTGCTTCAGATCTAATATTTCTTCAAGTAAGTCTGAATCCGCACCGTGAGAAGGGTTTCAGGACACGTTCTGTTAGTCTGGATCACTCGTAAGTATTTGAATCCTACTGATTTCTTGGTAAATAGTTTATTCATTAACATTATAAAATGTGGGCCACGCGCAACAAGTTTTCAAGGTATGAGTGTGTTTTTTTTTTGCTTTTCGCTAAATACTTTTCCGAAATTTTATTTCAGTATGTGGTTTCACCGATCTGTAAAAGCTGATGATTGGATGCTATTTACGGTGAGTTTCATATTAGTTTCACTCTTGTTTCTCTTGTTAATTTTGGGGAGAAATTACAGCAAGAGAAATGTTCATAAAAATATTCAGTTTGTGATCAATGACACAAATCAAAATTCAATAAACTGTTACTCATTCATCAGTTGGAGTCCTATTGGGTCTAACGACCAAAAGCAATTTCACAATTGGTGACACATGTTCAATATAAATTTTAGCATTTAACAGTTTAAAATTAATTCTATCAAAATTCAAAATACTAAAATCCAAATCAAATAGGCACTCATGTTTTATTTTAAACTGCGAATTTCTTTTGTATTTTGTTCCATTTTTTTTTCTTTTTATGTTGATTGTAAATACATTTGGGCTGTACAGATTTTTACTCCTAGTGCCCATAGCGCCCGCGTCTTTGTGAGCGGCCAAATGTTCAACCCGAAGGGAGAGGTAAAGCATGAGCAGATTGTATCAATTCATTATTGCTCTTTCCCGGTTTATCTTCGTTTGTCACAGTTTGCTACTCTGTTAATCTTGCAGCTTCTTGTATCATTGGTTCAAGAAGGACTAGCCAGGAAAATTAATCAAGCAAATTCACCAATTAAATCTAAGTTGTGACTGCTGAAAAATGCACACATTAACATGTATTCATTTTTAAAAAACCCATGTATCCGTAAATCTTAATATCTTAATTATATATGTAGATTTATGTATTGTTTCTCCCACATATATATATACTATACAATGTATTTTTAGTCAAAGTGGACCGGATTTCCTATTAATAGAAACTAATATATTAACAATTAATAATTATTATTAAAAAAAACTATAAGAATGGATTTAATACCATATAAACAGGTTATAAAATTGAATAACCCAACTCATCACAGGGTTACTTTTAAAGAGTTCAATTTCACAATGCAGTAAAAAATATTAATTTCATAATTGACAAATAATTATAAACAGTATATAAAATTATTAATTAGTATTAATTCATGTAATTTAATTAAATTTATCACCCATGTGTAATTACAATGTAAGATAATGCAAACTAAAGTGGAAATAAACACTTAAAATGTGTTTGGATGAAATTTTTTAGAAGGCAATTCAAAATGTTTTATGTTGAGTAGGAAATTTAAACGAAATTAAAATTTTAGAATTTTATAAAAGTTATTTGATTATTTAAAAATAAATAGCTTTAATTTTTATATAAAATTCTTAACATTTTTTCATCTTCCAATTAAATATCTTTTTCTTTTCATACTTTCTCCTCCTTAACTTGAACTGAGTTGAGGTATTGTCAGTTTGACTTCAATTATTATATTCATCAACTCTATTGAGATCAAAACATCGGCGGCGGTTTGAAGTTGTTTTATGCTACTGATGTTAATAGGATTTATTTTTAAAGTTGAAGTAAATTATAGTTTTTTTTACTAATATCGTAGGAATTTTTTCACACACACACACACACACACACACACTATATATATATATATATATATATATATATATATATATATATATATATATATATATATATAGTTTTATTGTTGACATTATTTATAATTTTCTTCTCAACATCAACAATATTTTCTTACTTGTGTTAAGTAATTATTTGCAGATGATGTTGATTTGTGGTTATTTTTAAGTTTACCTTAATTAAGGTTGTTTCGGCCAACATTAATCTAAGTTAGTTTTTGACCGACATAAATGAATGTTATTTCTCGTAAAATTAACTAATATTTTCTCAACTAAGTATTTCATTGATGTCTTTAAAAGTTTTTTTAGTAGATATAATTTTTAAATGGATATTGATGAATGTTATTTTTCAATTGATATTATTAAAATTATATTTTTCAATATATGTCAAAGTTATTTATCGGTCAATATTAATTAAAATTTTCTCAATTAATATTAAAAGAAATTATGTTTTAACATAAGTTTGTAAATATTTTAATTATCAGCCATGGTGATATTTTGATTGATATATCTAAGAATTATTTTTGTCATAAATATTATCAAAATGTTATTTTTTATCCAAATTTGTTATAAGTTTTGTATTGTTAGTTGCTAAAATGTTAGATCAACTTTGAGCAAGATTATGTTTTATCAATTTCATCCGATTTAGGACAATTTTGTTTTTCTGTTTTTATAAATACTTGTAAGTAAATAAAATAAAATAATTAAATTAATTGAGTTTTTCTTATCATATGATAAAATCAACTCAATTCATTTTACTTTTTGTTTTCTTATTTTATACTTTGGTAAAAATTTAACAAAATAATATCTTATTTTCTTAATTCATTTTCTATTATCTATATTTTCAAGATTGCAAAGCAAGTGAGCAGTTTAACAAAATAATATCTTATTTTCTTCATTTCATTTTTCGATGAAAAAATAAAATTCCCTATCTCTATATAAATATTTAAAAATAAAACATTAAAAACATTTTTTTTTCTCAAGTAAGACGACCCTTAATAGAACATTCTTTCTAACAAACTACAATTAATTGAAATTTGCTGAAAATTAAAAAATAGTGAAAACCTCACTCCTTATCTATTCAACCTCCTTCATAACTCTACAATTTTTCAATAGATTTTAAACAATAGAATAAACAAGAAATTGTATTTCTACTCCATATAGTTTGGGTAACTATTTAACAATTCACATAAAGGACTCCGACAGTGCAGTCTACACGTTGAATTGTGCAGAATATGAGGTTTCAGGTACAAACTTTGGTAGCACCATTGTACACACAATAATGCTTCAGATTGTCAAGCTTTTACAACTTAATACAGTGATATCAGATAACAATCCTGGTATTGAAGAACCCATCATCACCTGGCCCTCATTCCCCAAATCACTAACATCAACAACCACAGTGCTAAGCGAATTCCCAATAATGAAAATGCTTTTACCAACAGCAACAAGCTGACAAGGTGGTCTAGTAAGCAATGGTGATAGTTTTCCAACCGGTATCCACTGGCGTTTCTCTTTATGCCACATTGTTAACCTGGTTCCCAAACTTTCATCCAAGACATAGAGGGTGCCATCCACAACAACTGAAGGGCCTGTCCACCCAGAAACCATGTCAGCATCTGCATACTGCCATGTGTCACTTGATGGTTCATATTCAATAGCAAATACATGAGGAGATACAGGATATCTGGAACATCGGACATATATTTTCCCATCAAGAACCATTGAATCTTCAGAATCAGAAATAATAACAGGATCTCTCTGAGATGTCCAACAATTTGTCAGAGGATCAAAAGTATCCCAAGAATGAGAATCGCGTGACTTTGAAACTAGTCCTCCAATAGCATATATTTTTTCATCCAAAACTTCACTAGCAAAGAAGCACCTGAAAGTTTTTTGTAGAAGAAAACAGTGATTTCTACATTGCTGTATGGGCTAAAACTAACACTGACAAGTAAAGACAGCTAAATTGACAAATAAAATATCTATAAATAATTCTTTGACTATGTTACGAGAATATAATATCAAAGTGGTTCTTAATTATATTATACTTCCAAAACAAATATCAAAACTTCCTCTGTCCCACTCAGCTCTGGAGAAAAAGTGAGTTACAGCATAAGGATAACTGTTTTAGGATGGAGAAAAACCTTATTTCTTAACTCATAAGTATTGGTACTCCTAAAATCAAACGGAACGCATACCAGGTAAGGTATGTATAATTTGATTATATATGGGTACTTCTTGAATCCGTATAGGTCCCATGCTCAAGTCTAATAAATAAGAACTTTCAAGTGATGGAGAAGACCCTGGACAATTTGATTTCTTACCATATAGATGAATATTTAATCCTATAGGTTTAATCCTAAATGAGATGAATATTTAGTTTTTACATATACAAATCTTCATCTCCTCTAAAAAAGGGTAATAGTTCTAAAGGATCAAGAAACTAAAACTTCTCATTGCAATTCAATTGTGGGAAATTAGAATAACTATTTTTTAATATGGAAGATCATATTAACTATAATCATAAAACATTTAAAGAATTTTCCTTAATACTACTTTAACTGACTATTGTAGCGAAAAAATATCACTAAGTATCAAAGTAAGAATATAAGAACTCATACCTATAATAAAAGATGAATAAAAGATGAAGGAATAAAATCGACAAAAGATAATAATGTAACTTCACTACCAAACAGAAAATTACAATACATTTATTTAAATCTGAGGAAACAATAACACTCTCTTTTAAAAATAAAAAGAATATAACTACCATGCACTAAAATGATAAAAAAGAAAATGAAGTGATTTTGGTGTATTTTATAAATAAACATAGTACTCCTTTTATTAAAGACAAAAGTAACCACCAAAATATAATTTCCTTTCAGTGAGACTTCTTTTCTCACAAATTTAAAAAGAAAAAATCTTAGCAGATCGATGTTACCAATTCTATTTCTCTAATGTCCTACAGCACATACAAACTAAGCTTCCTAAAGAAATAGACTTAAGGATATTTACCTAGGAGCTGACAAGGAAGTAGCTTGAACCCAACAATTTGAGGAAGCATCATATGAATAAACCTCATCAGTACAATCAACTGACCAGCTACAACCACCCAATAAGAATAGCTTATTTCCCAAAGCTTCAAACCCCATGCCTTTTCTTTTTAAGATGTGAGGTGGAAGACCACCAACGGGCTTCCAATATCTTATTGGCCCAGTTGGATCCAAAACATAACAGAAAATATCATTTAATTTGCCCACACACAGAGCATAAATCCAGGTTTCATCCAGTTTGTGCTTCCGACGATAAGTACACCACTCTTCATCGCAAATTAAGTCCCTCCATCTCTTTGAGACACACTTCAGGACTGAATGATATTTTCTAGGAACTCTTGCCAGGCACATAAGAGAAATATCATCTGGAAGGCCACAAATAAGTGCAGAATTAGTTGTTTCTTCTTCATTGACACTATTTGATGATTCTTTTCCATCATCTACATTCTCCATTGGATAGTAAAAACAGAGGATCTGGAAAGAAAGGATAAATGTTAGTAAATCTCTTATCAAATCAAACTTTCACTTGTTCTTTCAACTGTATAAATTTAACAACAAACATCTAGCCATTATGATCCCAAATCTCAAAGGGTGAGTCAAGACACAAACCAGCAGTGTAAAATTTTTAAAACTTGGAGGTGCACAAATTATGTGATTTAACCTTTTTTCAAATTCACTTTAATCAGCTTACAAGCCTCAGTAAACAGACTGCAGACTGAAATTTTATGCAAGCTGACCTGCGTTAATTAACATATCAAATCATTAAATATCAAACTCCTACAGAACATAAAAATTTGCTTCTTCTTTGGCCTATATATATGTCAATAATTTCTGCATTATACCAACAGGTGTAGTTTAGGTAAGGTTTTATATCACATGTGACGACGTGTGACTTTTTAAGAGACTAATAAATATATAAATAATAAATGGCTAAATGATAAATAGGTTAAGAGGAACAATTTCTGATGAAAATGACTAATTGATGAGAGTAACAATTTTAAAAGACATTTTACATCCACTTAAACAATAAGTTCTCCACATTTTATTGTAGAAAGAAAAATCAGTTGTGGAAATCTTGATTTATTTAACAAAAAGACATTCAGAAAACTCAAGACTGAAAACACATAAAGGTACACTTATGAGAATCATTAATTTCAAGATCCTGTTTGAATTATTTATTTTATATAATTATTAGAAAACCATTATAATTTTACACCATCACTATATGAAATACCATCACCTTTACAAAACACAATTTACAAAAAATGTCTATTCCATTTGGAGGTATTAGTTTTCAAAACACACAACCAGACGACCCAAAAAGGAGAAATTAACTTCCTTTGTCAAATTATATCAAAGAAAATACAAATTTAATTTCAAGCATAATATTTAAGAGGCAGAGAAGATGAATGCCCAGATTACATTCTAAATCACATAAGCAGAACACATGCAGGGTTCTCAACTGCCCACAAATCAACCATAAATGGAGAAACCATCGAACTGCCATCACAAGCTTAATAATCATTCTTACCATTACAATCCCAAAACAAAAACATTCAAATGTAATCCTAATATAAACTCCCAGTACATTTAATTTTCTCAAACATGAGCTTCAACACCCTCCTCATTTTTTAAAGACCTGAACCAAATGCAAAACCAGAAGCAACTCATTCAAGAAGTGCAAAGGATAACTTATTTATACAAACCTTCCTACAATCATTGCAATCCCAGATCTAAAAGCAAAAGGGGCAGAAGAAATTTCACATCTATTCCAAAAATTTCAAATTTGTAAAGTAAATGCTAAACAATCCTGGAGTTGAAATCAAAGATCGAAAGAATAAGATGAGAATTTCAATTTATTTTCGTGATAGGACGAATGGGAAAAGAAAATCACCTGTTGCGGAAACAAAGGGATTCGACTCGGAAGTGCGCAAGAATATGGACAAAAAATACTCAAGCGGTCCACGAGATGTATATAGTATTTATTTTTCATAACAATTAGTTTATAAAATCTTATAAAATCTTCACTTTTTATTATTTAACAAATACTAATAAAAAAAGTTTAATACTCAAAATTAAAATAGTGGTTTGGTTTTCTTTAGTCTTATACTCAAAATTATATCTTATCATTTTTAATGTAATCATAAGTTTATCAGGTTTGATTAATTTATAATTTGTTCTTGTTGTCACTTTTTGTGATATATGTTTAGAGTTTGATAATTTTGTCTTCATTTTTTTTCCTTTAATTTCAACACAATTATTCTTCTCATTCTTGTTGGTAGCCTCCTAACTAGTGTTCTTCTTTTTATCAATAAAATTATTAATATTATGTCATTTTAATTTTTCTTTTAAAAAACAACTTAAATAATTTATTGTTTTTATTCTAAAAGTAAACTTATTATTATTAGTGGATATAATTTAAATTTAGATCTAAATATTATGACTTTGAAAGCTAATAATGGATATAAACAATGCTTTATTTTTCTATTATTATTTAGTGTCATAAGAGGATGAGAAAATGTTTACAACTAAATTCCTTTATATTTAAATAGGTACTTGTAACTTAAATGAATTTACATACCAGAAAATAATTTGGGTTGAGAATAGTGTGAATTATTATCATTGTAGAAAAGTTAACAAAATATAATTTATAAATTAAAGTATTTTTGTTAATGAAAATTGTATATACAATATTTGAATAGTTTTAGTTTGTTGCATTTAAACTATTTCAAAATAAAAAATCAGAATAATTATAAATTGTGACTAAAGTGTTTTTTTTAATATTATTAGTTATTTTTAATTTTATTAAATATGTTTAATTTTTTAATTATAGTAAAAATATTTTAAAAATATTATTTGTGTAGGACTGTTATTAATTTTTTTAAAACAAATAAAAACAAGTTATCAAGAAAAAAAGTAATTTCAATGATAAAAAATCAAACTAAAAAATTGATTATTTATTTTTAATTATCACTGAAAGGAAGCTTATTTTAACTAATATTTAACATGTTTGAAAAATATTTTTTTTAATATTTAACTTAATTTCTAATAAAAAAATAATTCTATACGTACCTCTCTAAAACACAATTTTAACTCTAATGTTATATATATTTTTTTTATGTTCTAATTTTAATCCTAATTTGATAGATCTAAAAATTAGTAACTTAAGTTTATATACATAAAAAAATTATTATTATAAATCAATTTTCAACATATTTACCTAAATATAATTTTATTTTTTATAATATTTAATATCATTTAAATGCATTTATTTTTATTCTTTGTCCAAAGACGGAAAGTCAGCTCGTAAAGTTAATTAATGTGTTTTTATTTGCCAAACATGTCTGGGTGGTGTAGTTGGTTATCACGCTAGTCTCACACACTAGAGGTCCCCGGTTCGAACCCGGGCTCAGACACACTCACCCTAATTTTTTCCTTCTAAATCTTTTAATAGAAATGCATGTTAACTGTAAAAGGAGATTGAAGAAGAATATGTCTACATGTCATTGATAATCACATATTTTGTTTCATCATTATTGTTATGCTTCCAATTGATAACTATTTTTCTTGAAAAAGAAGTCGAAAACTTCAAATGAAGATAGGTTAACGAAAAGAACATAACAGAAAGAACACAATTCCTAAGTTGCCAAGATGCAGACACTTTTCCATAAACTTGAAAACAAACACTTTCCATAAACTTGAAAACAAACACTTTTCCAACCAAATTTGTTCAAAAGAAATTCATCACCATGCACTCCCAATAGGTATTGAATTAACTTATGAAAGTGTCTCTTCCATATTGTCATCCAAATTGTGCACTTCAAATCCTTGGAAAATTCATGTCAAGGCTCAGTTAATTTGGATTAAAAGACCAAAACAAATAATAATTTGACTCTTGTGTTAAAAATATCTTGCCGCGGATGGATCTTCTTAAGAGCGGATCTTTTTGGGAGCGGAAGGAAGTGGTGACCTCCAAAATTTTGTAAGCTACTCATATAATTTATGATTTTAACCCTTCAAACTTAATGAATATTTAATATATTTACTTGTTTATTTACAATTTTATCTTCTTAGTCTCTTGTTGTAATTCTTATATAATTTATTTTGTTGTCCTACTCAAACTTAATAATCGTTTTATATATTTAAGTATATATTTACAATTTTATCTTTTTATTTTTTATCTTTTTTTTTCTTTTATATTTATTTATTATTTATTAATAATATATTATTTCATCTCTTTAGGATAAATGTTCAATATCCGCATCTAACCACCGTAAAATTGGTTTACAATTAGAGTACAGAGTCTACTTTTACAAAAATAATGAACTAAAACTAGATTTAGAAAGTCCAAACTATGAAAACTATGTTTTATTATACTCATTCTGACATCAAACTGGAAAACTGTTGTTTTACTCCGGCCCACTTTGGGTAGATACCAATCTGCCTAAAATCAAAGTTTAAGAATTTATTAAAACACAACAACATAATATGTACACACAACTTCAATCAAACACCATGTTTATTATTTTACAGCTATTAAAATTAAAAAAAAATATCAACTTAAATTTGTACTTGTACTTTTTCTTTTATTTTTTTCTAAATTAATATTAACATGAGATAGTATTTGTATAAGATAAAAGTAATCAACATTAACCAAAGTATATATTTAATTAAATTTTTTATTTTGTCTCATAATCTATATATACTGTCCACATGTCCGATTCACAAATATAAGATCTATCAGGAAATTAAAATATTCTCTATGTATTAGGTAATAATAGACCATTAACCTATTTAATTATTCAATTATAATTAATATTAAATTGATATATTTTATTATTTAAAATAATATTATAATAAAAATTTATAAATAAAATAATTTTATTATTTATAAATATTTTTATTTTTATTTATATATTTTTTTATTGTTATTTTTATTCACTTAAGTATTTGATTATCTTTGTAAATGATATTATTTTTAATATTCAAGAGTCAACTCAATCAATATTAAAAGAATTATCTTAATATAGACTTATATGAACTTATTAATTATTTTAATTTTTTTAGAATAATTTGAAAATACTTTATTTCCTTAACATGTTTATTTTTTTTTAGTGTGTAGATATCTTTTAATTAACATTGCAGTTATTATATTTATATTATATTATTTTAAGTATATTATTTTATATTTATAATTAATAAAATAATTTTATAAAAAATTAAAGTTAACCATTTTAAATAATTTGGAAATAAATTTGTTAGCTAAATTTATTGATATAGATGGATATTAGTGTATTTATTAATTTAATTATATTTATCTATTTATTTTTAGATAAGTCACATCCAACACTTTGTGTGGATAAATTTGTATTATAATCATTTTAATTTCAACCTCGAAAAGGACAAATGAAATTTTGAATAACTTCGGATTTTATTAAAAACACTCAAATGAAAGTGTGTTTGAAAGATCTATTATTAGTAATTTTTTTATTTTTATTTTATTATTTTTTAATTATACTTTTTTTTTAAATATTTTGTATGAGTGTTTTAATTATTTGAATGAAAATGGATAATATTATTTAAATAAATTAATGATGATTATCAATTTAAATTTGATTAATTCAATAATTATGCTGATATTCAAAATTTAATATAACGACTAAAAAATCTATATCTCTTTTAAGCTATAGTTAATTTTTGGAATTTTTTTAATGAAAATTAATGAAATAACACTACTCTAAATAATTATTAAATTAATATTAATAGAATTAAAATACTTGAGTTTTCTCTGAACCAAATCATCATGATAGTTAAATAACTATATTTATAGAAATTAAAATAAACATCATAATCATAATTAAATAAAAAGTATAAATTTTCAATTTGAATTATTCGAATAACAAATATTATTTTATGTGAATTCAAATTTAATTTCACATTAAAAAATATCTCAATTAATATTTTTAAAGATATTTATTAAAAAGGAATTTAAACACATTTAATTTTCACAATTTATATTTTTAATATTTTGAAGAGTCTAAAAAAACTTATATATAAGTGATTTTAATAAAAAATATTGTTACTATTAAAATTAAATTTGAACATTTCAACCTGTCACAATTTATATCTAATTAATTTTCCATACTCAATAAAATTATATCAAGTTTATTACAAATTATTCAATTATAAAAAAGTCAATTGCAGTAATATTTAATCATTAACTAATTAATTAATATATTTAAATTTAACCTAAGTTTGGATATATTTAAATTACTTTTGCGTCTTTGTTGTTCAATCAAACCGTGGATCCTTATCACCTGTTCGCAACCTCATCACTAACCATTTCCAAGGTTTGATTTTGCTTTGCTTGTCCATCTTGATATTTATTGGTTTTGCATAAGGGATGCAATTGTATTCAACTCTCTGATGTGTAAAAATTGTTTAAGAAACCCTAATATTGTCATGGCTTAAAATCATGACACCAAAAGTCAAGTAAAAATGCTATTTGTTCTCGATGTAATGGGGTCATTCCATGTTATTCTTGAATGCAGACAATGACCCTGTTTTAGCACAAACAGAGTTATCCATCTACAATATATCATACCTTTGCACAGAATGTTGGGGGTTGTAGGATTCTGCCGGATATTCATATCAGATTTTGTATGATTGAGTTTGTCTAAATCAACCTTTTAAGGGAATATATAACTATAAAAATGCAGTTTAATGCATAATCATGTTCAGTGTCAAGAATATGTAGTGAGGATTACTTTTTCTTTTTCATTTTAGGAAGTAGTTAATATTTAATTTATAACTAAAGCAATACAGTTAGACACTATTAGTTACTGTAGCCCAACTAGCTAACTGAGCTAGGTAGAAGTGAAAAGGAAAGTGAATAAATTTAACGAAATTTAAAACACAAAACAAGCTTTTAGACACATTTCATATACTGTTTCTTGGCACTTGAACCAAGTATTTTCTAAGAGTTTTGTCTGTGGCTAGGGTTGATTAAAATAAACCTCTTCAAACACACACTATAGTTCGATTCGCATAGGAATAGTTTAATTGCTTCATATAGATTAATGTTCTCTAACTACTTACTGAATTGTTGGCTAATCCGTTTGTGCTGCTGTACAATGAGTACAGCAGGGGTCTTGGCATGGTACTCACCAACCTTGTGACAGAGTTTTGGGTAGTTGTTGTGGGCTAAAATGTAAGGTAAAAGGGGGAAACATGTTGATTGAATTCTTGGATATTTTATTGCACACTGATATTGAATTAGGAATAGCAAGCACTAGCATGCAGCAAGTAGATGGATATTAGGAATATGATGACAGATATATGTAACTTAAAATAACACACACATAACTTAAGTATCAGCATATATTCCTCTTCTTCCCCATACTTCAAGGGAAAGGAAAAATGCAAAAACTACCATTAAAGCAGCCCAAGCAAGACTTACTATATCCATGTAAATTTTGTCTCCAATCTCTATAAATATGACGGAACTATTTCATTATTATTTCAAAATTTTTCTTCTATTATCTTATCTTATTATGTGCACTTGTCCTGTACTAGAAACCAGTATACTTAATAATTCCTCTTGCTCTTCTCCTTCTTCACCTCCATCCTAGGATAAACAAACAGTCACAAACGGTTAGAGTTACAGATGAGGACACTTCGTTTTACTGCAACTCTATATATCACGTTTTAAAATGCCCCTTTTAAGGGCTAACAATACAGAAACTCAAGTGAGAAGACCCCTTTGGAGAGAGATTAATGTATGCTTAAAATTCACACAATCTCCATGATCTTAACCAAATAAGATATATTTGAATGTTTCAATTTATAAAAATAAAAAAAAGTTAATCTTTGCTTTCTTCTTTCTCTCTTGGATTTTTCATTGGCCTTGCTTTTTCTGCCTTTACTTTCCCTCTTGGATGATTGCTTCTTCGTTTCTCCTCTTTGTTCCACTCTTTTGCCTCCACCACTCTTGTTCTTCTCATGTGCAGTTTGCTATTTTTTTTTCTATTTCCGTCTTTTGAAATGATTTTTACTGTTAATTTATGAGTTAACTTTAAGAGACACATTTGTTTAGTCACTACAGTGACTAGAAACTTTGCCTTCTTGATTTTGATTCTAATGGCTAATGATTATGAGAATAATTTTTAGTCTGTTGATTTTTTTCCATTTACAGAGCGTGGCTGATAGAGTTTTTTCTGGTCTCATTCCATCTAGTGAGCTAGCTGGGTCACAGTTGTGAGGCTTTAAGGTAGTTGAAATACTAATATGTATCATTGCTGTGAACATATTTATCTGTTGTTATTGATGGTGGTATCTTGCTTCCAGTTTCTATATTTTAATTTAATTTCATTGCTATGTCAAGGTTTGGCCCTGATCCCTTGTACTTTGAGGTTTCAGAGTAGTTCATATAATATTTTAGTTTCATACCGCTCAAAACAATTAATCTAAAAAGAAACCAAGTTGGTTTTCTTGAACTGTAAAAGCAGTTCAAGTAAGTTGTAGAAACAGTTAAGGACAATTTTTAATATATATATATATATATATATATATATATATATATATATATATATATATATATATATATATATATGAGAGAGAGAGAGAGAGGCAGAGAGAAGCATAAGAAAATAAAAGTGATTGCCACTTATGGAATGCAGTATCACAGTTATCAGTTTTCACTCCATTTGGGACAGTTACTGATATCATATGCACTTAATTATTAACACATTTTAGTCTCACCTACAAATTAAGCATATATGGTCCTTTTTTAAGAACTAGTAAACTTTAGGGCTGTAAGCAAGGAAAATACCAGAGGTAAATTTCATTTGGGGGGGTTAGCCCAAATCTTTATTCATTTGAATTTATTAAGCAATGACGGCCATAAACTGTTTCACAATTTATCAATGTAGAAAATTTGAATTAATTTTTGAGATTTTATTACAATAAGAAAACTTAAGTATCTAGCTGGGAGAAGCCTTTTGAATTATGTATGCCTATTGAGATTAGTCGTGCGATTGATTTTGTTATCATATAGATGAAAATATGCAATGGGAAATAACAGAATAACTGAAAACTGGTTTGACTTACGATATGAATGTGATTCAAGCTTAGTGGTTCAAGTTTTTCCTTCTTTCATATTATTCCTTGGATTTAAAGCATCCTTGGCAGCATTGTATTGAAGGGACTAAACATGTTATCATTGCATGAAACTGGTTTGATTTACAACTGTTTTAAAACTACTGGTTCTATTAGATACGTTAAGATAGAAAACATTTTAGTTTCTAAAAAGTGATCAAAGTGTTTGTCTACATGGTACCCTTTACATAGATACATTAGGATAGAAAACATTTTAATTCTTCCAAAATTACAAAATTAAGAAATAATTAAACAATTTTTTTTATTTTTTTTCTAAGCAATCTTGTTTAGGCAAAGGTGGCCACATTGTGAGAACAACCACTGTTGCTTTTAAGAATAAAACGATCACCGTTTTCTTCTCATTATATCTACAAACACTATGCAAGCACTATGTTCAGATTGCACTCTTCAGGTGCCCAGATTCTCAATTAAAGCAACTACTCCAAATTTTGCATCTTATCTGTCCACCCTGAGGCCCTCCAATGCTGGAACCAGATTGAGTTTCAGTTTTGGTTGTGGGATTTACAAACCCCATAGGATGAGTAGGTGTGATGGCTTTGGGGTGCTGTGTGCAGCCTCCAATGAAGAAAATGATGATGGATTTTACATGAGAAGATGTGTAGAGCTTGCAAGGAAAGCTGTTGGGTATACCAGCCCTAATCCATTGGTGGGGTGTGTTATTGTAAAGGATGGGATAGTTGTTGGTGAAGGGTTCCACCCCAAAGCAGGACAACCTCATGCTGAGGTACCTACTTCCCTTTCTCTCTCTCTCTCTCTACATGTATGTTCATTATAGACACATTATACTGTGCTCTTTTGTGGTTTTTTTCCTTGTTGGTTTCATTGTTTTGGCATTTCAAACTGGTGATGATGGATAAACCTAAACAGGTTTTAAATTGGGGTTGTGGTCCTTAACAAGGTTTTAACTTGCACATGTCATGATTTAGTTGCAAACAAATGCCACTGTAATTGAGATAGCATTGCAGTTGAGGAAACCGCAAAAACCCTGATGATGCAGCCGATTTATGTTAGTCGGTCACGGACTGCTTTTCAAAACCTTGGCCCTTTGATGGTACTGGAAACTATGGAGATTGCTGCAGATGTTGCAACAACGGTTAATGAGACCCCACAAACCTTAATGTTGTTGTCAAAATTGCTGTCATGAACAATTTTTTGAAACCTTGACCCTAAGTTGAATACAAATGGTGGTTTTTATAAGAAAAGAAATTAAGAGATATCCTGGGGAACATGTTTTGATTGTGAGATGTTACTGTTTCTTAGCATTTAGATGAAGAATCTGTGTTTGTTGCTGAGTATGTTGAGTCAGGAGATGACTTTGTCAGGTGTTTGCTTTGAGAGATGCTGGTGATTTGGCACATAGTGCAACTGCTTATGTGAGCTTGGAACCTTGTAACCATTTTGGTAGGACGCCACCTTGTACTGAAGCTCTAATTAAAGCCAAAGTGAGTAAGGTTGTTGTTGGGATGGTGGATCCAAATCCCATAGTTGCCTTCAAAGGGGTGGAAAGATTGAGAGATGCGGGAATTGAAGTTGTTGTGGGTGTAGAGGAAGAGCTGTGCAAGAGCCTCAATGAGCCTTATATTCATCGCATGTTGACCGGAAAGCCTTTCCTTCCTTTGAGGTAGCTCGACTCTCCCTTGGTCCTGTTCGTTTGCACTCTCACTTGCTTTTCATCATCGATTCGTGTATGGCTGTTGTTTGGATGCATTTTGGAGTTTGGTTGATTTGCATATGCTTCAATTCTTTCGCAAACATGCATTTCACAGCCTAACCTGTATTTGCATTGCAGATATTCTCTTTCTGTCAATGGAAACTTTTTGGACTTACTTGGGAATGGAGCTACAGACTGTGGTGGATACTATTCAAGGCTATTACAAGAATATGATGCAGTGGTAATCTCTTCTTCCTTTTTCACTGAAAAATTGAAAGTACCTGCATCTCAAGAACCTGGAGCCAATCAACCGATTCGGATTGTAATACATAAAGATCCTAGTTCTTTAAATCAAATTCCACCAGGCATGAATGACTTTACTGGCAAGATGATAATCTTTACAGACAATAAAGCAGAAACAGCTCCAGAAGTAGCTCAACAAGGAATTGAAACTGTAGCTCTGGATCACATAAATCTGGATGTGATCTTGGATTATTGTAATAGTCAAGGATTGTGCAGTGTGCTGTTAGATATTAGGGGGAGTTTCGGTGAGTTTGAAGAGCTTGTTAAGGAGGGTATCAAAAAGAACTATATTAATAAATTTATTACAGAAATTTTGCCTGTTTGGAACAGACGTTCTGAGCCAGATCCTCTACAGACATTAAAGAGCTTAGAGCAAGGAGTGAAATTACTAAATTTGAAGTCCAAGGCCTCTGAACAGAGTGTTGTAATTGAGGGATATTTTAAATGTGAGTAAAATGGTCATATGTGTCCACAACCGCCATTTATCAATATTTCAGTGTCATGGCTTTTGCCAAGGCATTGTTTGCTGGCGGAAACTCATGGCTGTTGTAACCAATGAATTTTGTTTCCATTTTTTTCTGGCTAACATATTCCTTAGCTTTCCAGTTTTTGCTTGTATGCAAATACTGTCTTGAAATTTAGAGTAGACTGTGACAGTCTGTTGTTACTGTGACGTCGAGCTGCGTATTTCATTTGCAATGTAAGCAGTTTGATTTGATGTGTGGATAGTTCACTTGGCAGATTTTAACAAAAGAAAGTAGAATATTTTATTTGAGTTGTGTTGTGCATTTTCTCTCTTAGAGAGTAAAACAGCACTTTGTTTAATTCAAACTATCTTTGATAAATTGTTATAATGAAGGTATAGAGAATGTTCATTGATACTATGGATCGACACTATATCTTCTGGGCGAATGGAGTAAAATTTGTACGTTGTGGTACTGAAAAATGATTATTTCTGTAATTATTAATTTTAGTTTTTGAATCTTAGTGCAATGATAACGTTGGCTTGCTGTTCCATTCTGAACTTATGATTTAAGTTGTGTTCAAACGGTTAAGTTGTTCTATTATGAATTTATGCAATGTATTAGTTTCTCTTACACAGCAGCTTCAAATTTATGCTCTCTTTTGTTTTAGTGGAGGTTCTAATGTTTGTTTTCACGCACCATTGATTATCATAGTTAGTGACGGCTGCGAGGGCTTCTTGGTGCCTGCTAAATGTTGTTTGCTTGAGAAAATAAATTGTTTACAGAGGCCTTCACCAAAGGGAATCAAGCTAACCCATGAAAGTATTGTTGTAGAAGATTTAAAATTAACACATTCTCCTATTATTAGTGTGAACCTGCTGAGTTTGTATCACGCAGCTGTTTTTCCTACCAAGTAATCATGAGATGCCAGCAAAATACAACAAAAAAGAAGACAGTCCTTCAAATTCTACAAATCAAATAGACAACTTTGGGAGAAAAGATCCTCTCGCGATTCATTAACAATGTCTTATGTACATGCAGCAGAAAATGCTAATGCATTTTATAAGTTATATATTTACAAGATTATGAACTATGAACTTGGTATATATACAGACCCAGTTCATAAACAGCATACATTCCAAAAGCACCATTCTGGGCTCAATTTGAGGTACACTCTATCGAGCTGGTGCAAGTGTAGCACATTTACCATTAGTAATTACTTACTACAATTCCTAACTACAATTAATTTGGTTAACCAAGCAGGACGTACAGAGCCACCTCAAAAGCCAAAATTGAAGAAGACATTCATGGTAAAGTTCCCTTTTCTCATCTAGGAGTTAGGCCAGCCATTTGGTGAATGCTCTTCAGAGTGGCTATTTTGCTTTGCTACAAGGCGTGCATGAATTAAATTGCCCGTTGCAACTGCTTCTTGGATGTCATTCTGTGCCTTTTGGCATAGTTCATCAAGTGCAAGCATTGGAAACGGCTCCTCAATGAGAACTCCAACCTACACCAATCATTTTCACAGTTTTGGAATAGCTTTATTCTAACCAGAAAATCTATGGAGTTATATTCAAGAATCAATCACTTCTGCATATTTTCAATCAATCAAGAGATCTCTATTCTTGTGGAATATTGAATCTGTAGTCTGTGATGTTTGACAACGCTCCTCAAATCAATAATGAATGGTTGAAACTAAATTTCTAACGGTGTAAATTCAAAAGCTACTCTCTACCTTTTGGGCATAACAACAGTTGTATGAAGCAATGACACCCATAATTACTCATAAATTTTTAAATAAATAAATTCTGTAAAATATAACTGATGGAATCACTTTCACTCATCTTACAACATTTGTCTGCCAACCTAAAACATCTTATCCAATGGATTAATCAGAAGAAAGGAAAAAAAAAAACAAATAATGTATGCCTACAATTAATGATCACAGTTCTGTTGGTTGCATGTACAATAAATTATAGAACAACATATTTGATACACTAAATAGTCAAGGTAAGAGAGGAACATACTTCTTCAATGCAAAACAAAGAGGCAGCGCTAATGAAGGTTGCAGGAACCACAATCCAATGGCAGTCGTCCCAAAGTATGATAGGAAGTGTCAGATGCCACAGGACAAGAAATCTTGACGTCAAACGAGTGTATGACAATGGAATGGGAATTCCCATAAGTTGTTCACATATGCCAATTCCTTCATGGAAACAACAGATCTTCGATTCCTGCCATAATGAGGGAAGTGCTAACTGTGTTAGACAAACAAGAAATTACCACATACTGAAGTCTTATGCTAACAAATAACCATCTACAATACAGCTTCGCCACCAAATTACTGAGGAGTCACAAATTAACATTCTTGACAATTTCACATGCAACAATGCCCTTATTCAACATGTACTAAAATTGTTAACAAGCAAAGGTTTTAAAACATGGTCTGCCTCATCAAGGTTTTTGACTTAATCATGGCTATAACTATAGCCACATCAACTGCATTGGTCTGCAATATTGGTTGTATTTGTCGATAAGATAACATTTTGAAGGATTAGAGTATCACATAATTTTTATTTTAAAATTCATGCTTATCTGAAAAAAAAAAAAATGTTTCTATCTTTTTACTTGTTCTTGTGTATATATCTCATCTATGTACTCTTAACTTCCATGTCTTCTAACTTCTAAGAGACCTGCTACTGTTTAAACTCAACATTTTTTCTCACGTTTTTCAGCACTCTCTTTCTCTAAGTTCCTAAGTTCACACCAAGAAATCTTACTAGTTTTAATACCTCAACCAACATCAAGAGGAGCTTGTTAAATCTTGTAGGAGTTGTGCACCAAGTGGATAAGTCTTAATTCTTTGGAGAGTGTTCACTCACATCCTGTTTCTGTTTATGACCAATTGAATTTGTGGGATTGTGATGGATTCATGAGATCCTGATTTTGGCCAACTATAAGAAAAAAAATATCAGGCCAACTATAACAACACTATCAACCAGGACATTTCCAATTACTAATTTAAAACCCTGCTAACAATTCCAGTTATTAGATAAATACCAGAACATTTCTTTTAGACTCCTCCAATTTGAGAAACCGAATGCTCTGCGATATAAATTCAATGATGCAGCGAGGCCGGTGCTTCGAATTCATGATCACTGCAAGATCATCCACTTCCAGCAAATGTTGGAGATCTCTCCTAACATCTGAACCATACAGCACGTGGCACTGCATTCAAACACCAACTTTCATTGTCAACCACAAGTAACTACTATATTAAAAGTCCAATCACAAACACCATTCATATTAACCTTATAAAAGGATCAAATTGATAGAAACCGAACACAGTTGACTATGTTTAAATTAAATTTAAAAAGCACTTTTGCAAATTACAATGTTTAACCATTTTCAATGCACCAAATGAAGAAGAAAAGATTGTTGCTCCGAACTTTAATCCAATCACGCAATTACATTGAAAATCAGATTTTAGAGAAGATAATAGGAAATATCTTCCATAAATTAACACACATGGTTTAAATTGAAGTTAAAAAAAGCATGTTTGCTATTCATATGCACCAAACGAAAAAATAACTTATGCATATTGCTTTGAGAGTAAAAACTTCTTTCGCGATCTTTAAAATGAACTTCAAACACACACTAAGATCTAGGTTTTAGTAAACAGTCATTGAGGCTGCAATCTGCCATTCGAGTAGCATTGGTCTGTAACTTTCCACAATACGAAGGATTGCGATAAAGTGCGATTACAATTGAAAAGCTTGGATAACCTTAAGCGCAATGGGGAAGGCGATGATGTACTGCAAGAGTGCGTGCTTGACGGCGAAGTCGGTGTTACCGACGTCATCGAGGATGGCGGAGGCTTGTCTGGCGAAATCGTGGGTTCCGGCGATGACGTTGGTCCAGGCCTTCTTGCCCTCGACGAAGCGGGCGTAAGAGGCTTCGGTGCGGAAGACGAGGAGGAGGGCGAGGGCGGGAGCGGTGAGCTGGTAGGGGAGGGAGGAGGCATGGAGGAAGGGGAGGAAGTCGGGGAGGAGGTGGAGGATTAGGGCTTGGTTGTATGCCGCGATGGCGGCGGCAAAGGAGGTGAAGAAGAGGACAGGGGGGACGAGGGAGAGGATAACTCGGGAGGATAGGCTGGAGAGGACGTGGCGGAGGTGTCGGAGGGAGCTGCGGTGGTCGCGCCAGTTGAGGTGGGTGTAGAGGGAGCGCTTCTTCTGCATGCCGCGCTCCTGCACCGTGTCGGCCCAGTCCGGGATGGAGCGGAGGAGGGAGATTAGGACCTGGGTAGAGCCGGAGGTGGGCCCGGGAGGGAGGGAGGCCGAGATGGTGGGCCTTTTGCTGGGCTTGGGAGGGACAAGAAGGAGGTTGTGGTTGAGTGGGCATTTTGGGGAGAAGAAGGTTGTGGGTTTGAGTTGTTGGGTTCTGTATTGGTGGTACATCGAGTTTCAGAAGATGAAGAATATGCAGAAGAAGAAGAAGAAGAGAAAAACATAGAACACATGTATGAATGTTTTGTTAAGGTTTGTTTTTCTGCGTGGGAAATTAATGGGTGGTTCTGTTTCCGACCAAACCCAACCACTGTTAGTCCCACGATTCATAATGACTACGAATGAAGCATGTTTTTACACGTTTTACCTACCCCTTCTTACTCAAAAACTAAAATCAATATTCACAATAATAAGGGCATGTTAATCGCAATGCACTAACTCTTTACACTTTTATTTTTATACACTCTACACTAACTCACCTAAATAAATATTCAAATTTTCTCTAATTTTAAAATATATTTATTTTGTTTATGTAATAAAATGAAATAACATTTATATTTTTTAAAATTTTAAATTATTTTTTTATTAATACCATTAATAAAATGTTTAAATTAGCTTATTAATAACAAATTGAAGAGATACAAAATACTTTATTTTTTATTTAATTTATCAGTTTTTATGTATTTATAAATTTCAACATTAAAAAAAAAGCTAATAACTAAAATTAACGTAATAAGACAATATAAATTATTTATCATAAATTTAAAAAATAGTTTTAATTTTGGAGTAAGCAAAGTATTATTCTTTCTCACAGAAGAAAAGTGACGGAGGAGAAACTGTGAAATAGGTTTTTGGAAACTGAACCTTCAACATAATTGTAGTGTTTGATTTGAAGTGAAGATCATCCATCATGAGTTTGATGAATCCCAGAACAGAGAAACTGGTGAAAAGGCTAACGTTTGTAGCCACTGCTGTTGCTTCCTATTTTCTCCTAACCGCTGACTATGGTCCTACACCCAATGCTCTCGACCCTGTAAGTACTCCTTTTCTCTCAAGCTAATTCCTTTCTATGATTTCTTCCATATCCAACACGGATTTTCCATTTTATTTTTAAATTCCTGAATGGGTTTTCTCTTTCTCGATGCACCGTTTTCAATTTGAATTTATTTGTTTTTATTATTGTTGCAATTTTGAATTATCGCCCTTCATTGGTTTGGAGTTGGCTTTGGCTATGGGTTTTTTTCTGTTTGCAAAGTTTGACGAAGGGTCTGTTTTGTATAAACTTTACTGCATGCACTTCTAGAGGGAAATAACAGCTTCTTCATAGGCTAAAATTAGAATGGGTCACGCATAAGTTTTTTTTTTTTTAAATTAATATGGTAGATCTAATTTTAACTTATAAAAAACTCATTAGTTTATCTTTCTTGAAATTCTTTTCGTATAAGTGATGATAGAAAAGTTTATCCAGACATATTCCAATTATGTGGTCTTGATACTTGTTTGATGATTCTGAAATGTAACCAAACTCGGACTCTAATTGTGAATGGTTTATGTAACGATAGGGTTTGTGAGAGCGTGTGTCAATCAATCTCTATGCAATTTCTTGGTTACTTAGTGTTACTGACTCATATATGCCTTCGCTGAGGGTGATTCCCCCTTCAAAACTAGTCACACTATCAATAGTTTCGTTGTTGCAACTATACAAGTGTATATAAGGACTAGATTTTAATTAAATGGTTCAAATCGGAAGAGAAGGGAGACAACAGAAAGAGAAGAGGGATCTAATGGTACCTAATGCCTCTCAAACTTTACTCTTGCTAAGCCTGACAGCATCGTGTAATACGTGTAGTTGAGTTGGATAAAACTTTTGTTGTTGTGGATTCGAAGGTCTAAAACCTACTAGTGTGGGAAAGGGGATGATATACTAAATTTCAAGCTAAGTAGCTTGAGTTGGATTTGATTGACATTGGAAAGTGGAAGGAAACAGCCTGCTGAAATACTTTGTGGCTACTTTAGTTATAATTCTTAGGCAATTTTGAATCCATAGATAGCATTTGGTACACATGTTAAAACTAGATGGAGCATAACATGAGTTTTCTTCTATGTTTATTTACCTTTGTAGTCCTGTTTCATGCCTTGGCACCAACTCTATTGTTTTTCATGTAAAATGTGATGAAACAAAAGATTTATAAGGTTTTTCTCATTTGTGATATGACTAAATTTAAATTAGTTTGGCTCTTGTAAATTTGCAATTATATGTAGAGAAATGGCACAAATCGGGTTTCCTGGACTTGTATTCCTGTATGGCAGAATTGTGAGCCGTAAGATATGTTCCAAGTAGGAGTTTCCTTGGTAGAACCTATACTTAAATATAGGTGCCCTTCCCAATGAGAAAGGTTCTACATACTACACAGAATGTCTTCATCAGTAGTAATCAGGATGCTGATACAGTCTAATGTAACATTGAATAAACTATATAACCTTGATGGACAGCTTAGGTTACAAACTTTGTAGCTCCTGCTTCACTTTCAGGATGATTGCCTTATGGACCCAAGCAGACACCAATTTAACTTTGTCCCCTTGAAAGTTGTCACAACAGTTTTGGTTTTTCCATAAACATTTTTAGTTTTGATTGCGATTATTTCATAAAGATGGAAGGGATGTGGGGATTCTGAATCTGAAGGGAAGAAAGCAAAATCTAATGCAATTGAGTGGCTTTCTGCTATTTTCTTAATTACTTAAACCATTTAAAAATTCAATTATACTTGACATAGGTTTCTTATTACCCTTCTATATTTTGGTTCAGATGATTTAACTCCAATTTAATGTTTTTAATGAAGGATGTTGTAATTGAATTCTACGGGAAGCTTTGTTTTTTTCCTTGTTTCTGATGGTATATTTTATTAATGGCAGATTAAGAAGCAAATACTTTCTGCACAGAGCACTGTGAAAGAATATATTTTGGGATCAAAGAAAGAATCTCAAGAAAACCAGTTGGGCAAATTGGACAGCAACAAGGATCAACCATAAATTTATGGAAGTCTTTATAGGAACATCATGCTGAGTCAAAGTTTTCTTTTAGCAGTTTGAACTATACTGTAATAGAATGAATGCTGCTGTGAATAGAGGCTGAGAATGAATAAACGGTAGATTCACTGGTACTAATGCCATGAATTAGTACATCATAATCATGTTTTCGGCTGCTCCTATCTTTCTCCAGAAATCCTTATCTTATTATGGATCAGCATCTATTTTGTTTATTGTTTTTCTTTTATCTGAATTTGAGTTTCCAAAATTGTAATTGAGAAGTATGATTTGCACATCAAATAAGCAGTTGCATTGCATAAATCCGAGTTTCTAAAAGCTGTGTCAATATCCATTGTCTGTTGTCTAACGACGATTCATCGATTGAGTGTGTAACTACAGGGCATGCAAAGTTTGAGCAGGGAATAACTGAAGTTAAAATAGGTTATACGACTGTTGCATGGATTAATGAACTTAAAATAGAGCACTTGTTTCTGATAATTAAAAATGTAAACGTCCCATTCCAAGTCGATAACATACAAAAATTCACAGGATTTAATCTAATGGATAACATACCAATAAAAGATCAGCTGCAAAAACCAGCAAGCTCTGCCGAAATTGATTATACTTAGTTTAAAAATTACTTTTGGATAAAATTGAAAACTATGAAGGCTTAATGTAGACAGATCTCAATTTTCTAGAGTCATCAGCCAATAGTCTCCCTACGAACATACATTCAATTTCTGTTGTTATAAGCTTTTGAATTACAATGGCATATCCCTGCAACATTTTAATCTAGAGGTTCCTAATTAACAAATATACATATTTATCAACAATTTCACCCTAGTGTCAATATGAAAAGTTATCTCATGTTAGTAAAACGATGAGGACGGCAAGTTCTACCGCATGACTCTGCACTTATTAATTGAAGCAGAGGTATGCATGTAATTACAAAGAAAATATTGTTTTCTACATTGCTTAGGATTTAGGATGTATATACCTTGAGAAAGAAGAGATAGCTAAGGACTGATGAGAAAGTGATAATGGAACACTGAAACAAATAAGGATATAAAGCGGATGTAGAATAGAGACATGAAAAGTTCAAGATTGATACTATTATCATGGTCCACAATATTTTCGGGTCATGATGCAAAACAGTAGGAAATGAACACTATTTTGGTGTCCTAACCCAATGACATGTGCACCAGACAGAAAGCAAATCTTGCTTGGCACTCCAACACTAAGTACACAGTTGTAAACAACAGCTTATAACTCTTCACATTTTGATCCTTTATAAAGGAAAAAGAATATATCGCTGAAGTTTAGATTCATGCTCAATCAATCAAATCATAGAACTGAATGAACATCCTAGCCGACCCAACAAAAAGGGGGAGGGGGTGTTACAAACACTTATCCAATCCTTGTTTCTTGAAGAAACCTTCGGACACATGCAACTTTTTGTGGATCTATTGGTATCCAAGATGAATTTTATAACCAATGTTGTGAGGAGTAGTCATCAGACAGAACAGAATCAGCAAGAAATTGTCTCTGTACAACATTTTCATTTTTGCCTGGTAGTTGCATTCCGCTTGGATTCCAGTGTTGTGGCATCTTTAAGTGCTGCTTGGGCTTCATTCTCCATTCCAAGTCCAGTGAGAGCAACAGATTGAAGATAAGATGCTATGTGCCATACGGGTGAAACCACTTGCGCCTGCATTGCATCGTTCAGCGCTTCCTGAGGCATGTCACTGATGAGATAAGACAAACTACGCCGTGCGTAGACTGTTGGAGAAACCATTGTTCCAGCATCAATGAACTGTGTATAGAACAATGAACTCTTAATGAATAAACTAGCACTAGAAGGCAAGTAAAACATCAAACAGAACAGCTTCGTAATAGGAAAGATCCAGTGGTGATGCTACAAAAGTTATTCATCAATAGACTTGAATAAAATTAGAATCACAGTGCAAAAATTCTTGATGTGCATCTCTAGGAAGAAATCTAAAGCATTATTCCTAGTTATGAAAATCTGAAGGATCTAGCCACTACCAGATTCAGTTTTATTTTAAAAATCAACTAGAGATCTATTTTGTAACATGCAATTTCATTTAACTAATCAGCAGGTTTTTGAATAAAAAATGGCACGCCAAATTCAGACAAGTCCAACTTATCAACATAGGTAATATACCTGCGTGTAGCACTCAATTGCCATTCTAAAATCTTTCTGCCGGAAAGCAACATCCCCCTTTTTCTTGCAATTTAATGTTTCCTGCATCTGATCAGTCCACATCTGAAATGACAACTGCAACACCAGAAAAAAGGTAAAGGGAATCCACAAGTTAGCTTCTTTTAAAGAATATATATATTTATATTTGTTATTAGTTTCATGGTTTGTGGAATCAGATAACCCCAAGAGTTAAAAGGTATGTGGCAATTCAGTAACATATAATTTAGATAGAGAACCTCATTTGCCACTCCTTCATCATCTTTATAGCCAATATTTTCCAGAACTTCATGTATGGCAGTCAAGTCCTTTCTTGAGCATGCTTCACCAAGTGGAGATAATAAGGCAAAAGTAGTACTGTGCTGGATGCCCATCAAGACATGTGAAAGAACCTAGAAATAAATGAGAATCAACAAACATTATTAAGAAAAATATCACAACTTAGAACTTCCAAAATTGATTAGCCACACTAGTGTGATAAAGTATGTCATGCATGGTGTGCAAAGATATGACAGTCTGAATATAGATACATAATTATGCTAATAAAGACATGCCTTAACTCTAAAATAGAACCTAAATAAATGTTTAATTGTCTGAGATGATGTGAATATGTTACAAAAGAACAAATATGAGAACAAATATTGACTTCTGTCCACACAACCATTGGAAGTTACTTAAACAAATAAACAAATAGGGGTGTTTGTACTTCAGTTTCGATCAGTTTTTAAGCAAAAAATCATCTAATCTGATCATAAAATTATTTGTGTTTTAATTTAGATTGGTTTGAAATATGATCTCTAAAACGGACTACTTAAAAGTTGATATGAATCACAAGGGGTGATTTAGGATCTTTAAGGTTAGAACCTTTTAAGAAATTTAGTAATTTAGTGATAAGGTGGAAGGAAAGAATCACTCTTTCCAAGGAAGGCAACACACAAAGGATATGAAAGTTCTTTGATCCAGCCAAATATTCTTGAATCACTCAAGAACTTAGGAGAATCACTCTCACTAAGATAAAAGAGATAAACTCTAATATTTCTAAAAATAAACTCAACTTGTTATTTCTGATAAAAATGGTTCAACTTATAAAGAAGATTTGCCATCAGAGTTACACATATTCATTAAAGAAAAATAAATGCTAATAATGATTTATTAACTTAGGAATTGAAAACTACTTAATGATTGATTGTAACTGAAATTTTTATCCTCCTCTGCCATCAATTTGATGTTCAAACTTTTAAACCGGGGCTCTGAATACTGACTGATATGAATCACAAGGGGTGATTTAGGATCTTTAAGGTTAAAACCTTGTAAGAAATTTAGTAATAAGGTGGAAGGAAAGAATCACTCTTTCCAAGGAAGGCAACACGCAAAGGATGTGAAAGTCTTTTGATACAGCCAAATATTCTTGAATCACTCAAGAACTTAGGAGAATCACTCTCACTAAGATAAAAGAGATAAACTCTAATATTTCTAAAAATAAACTCAACTTGTTATTTCTGATAAAAATGGTTCAACTTATAAAGAAGATTTGCCATCAGAGTTACACATATTCATTAAAGTAAAATAAATGCTAATAATGATTTATTAACTTAGGAATTGAAAACTACTTAATGATTGATTGTAACTGAAATTGTGGCATCTAAAAGTCAATCAGCTATACACCCTCTTAGTCTCCCAAAGACTGATAATTAAATTTCCAATTGGGCCCTTATTACAACTTGCAATAAAACTAAACTAAAGTCCATTGATTGGTTAATCCAAAGCACAATTTGGTCAACCGACAATACTTGTTGAAGAGCTTCTTTTGTTTCTCTTGCTCTAGCCCTTATCATAGGTTATGTTCACATCAAAAGTGGTATTGGATTGCCTTATATCTTCAATTATAAGTTATAAATATGCAATTAATATTAAATAAATCTAAAGAACATAGTAAATCAGTACTACCTTTTTTCCTTTTTTAAAATATGTTTAGGGAATTTATACAAGAACAACCAATATATGTAATAAATCCTCTCGTTCCTCATATAAAATATTTATGAACTTTCCTATTTTATAATGATATCTTGAACTATGAAAATGAAATAAATATGAAAAAAGTATTCAAAAGCATTGACACTTACAAAGGAAAGGAGGGAGTAATTATAATTATAATTATAATAAATATTAATTTAAAATATCATCTATCACATCACATCTAAATCACAAAAAGTATGAGTCAAAATAATCTTAATGTTCTTATTTTTGAAAATTAAATCTCCAAATAAAATTGATATACATCTCAATAAGATGTAACTGAGATAACAAAATTATGAAGAAAACATGTTAGTATCATAAGTTCACAACTTCTTCCATTATTTGTTGCATGGTTATTTTATAAATAAAATTATGAATTTGGGTCAAATCAGTTTTCAAAATTATATTTGAAATCCAGTCCAATCTAATATTTCTTTTTCAGTTTGTTCAGTTTGGTTTTGGCAGTTTGCATTGAATTGGACCAATTTATGAACATCCCTGCAAAGCAACTTGCGCTAAGCAGACAAGAATTCAAACAAGATATACTCATGAATTACTACTAATACATGATTCCTTATTACTATTACATAATAATAATAATACTAAACCAACCTCTGTTTCCTTCTGAAGAGGAGACAAAGCAGCTACCAATGATTTTGGATTAGGCCGTTCTCTAGGTTCATATTGTAAACATCGAGATGCCAAGCGTACCAACTCAGTTCCATCATCATCGGAAAATTGTCCTTCCAAACAAGAATCTGTTAACATCTGAAGATTTCTTCCGCGAATCACATCGAGGGCCTGCACCAGATTTTCTAATAATCACATATGCAAGCTTACATATAATATAGTAATATATTTTGCTATTAAGGGTATGTTGTAGATGGAGGCTATGGGAGGGGAGGGTAAGGTTTTGAGTAGACTTCATCCTTATTAGGGATATTTCAAACCAGAGAAGGAAAATTGGGGATGGTCTTATAACCACCAGAACCTTTCTTCATTTATTTTAATAAACATTTGAAATTTCTCAATTTGAACAAATTTAAAGGATTTTAGCATCAAAACAAAAGAAAACACTTGTTAAATTCCCGTGATGAAGTTAAATTTTTGAAATCAGTAACACATTTGTTTCGTTAGGAAAAAGGAAAAGGTAAATTTATGAACAGATTAAAAAAATTGAATCTACCAACCAAACCAACGAGACACACTAGGAACTTTTAGGACTAAACTAAACTCATAAGTCATTGAAATCAACATACATATTACCAGTGGTAAGAATGACTTACATGACTTGGGGGGATATGCTTCCCACTGAGAAGGTCAAGTAGAAGGGTGCCAAAGCTATATATTACACTTTCTGGTGTTACTCTCCCTACAAAACAAAGAGATATAAGAAATCATGAATCATTCAACTCTAACAAAATATAACTTATTGTAAATTTTCAAAATGCAATACTGATATTCATTTGAATGTTATACAGTGTTTCATATAAGCAAGAAGGACAAGTTAACAAAACAGAAAACATTATATACCAGTTCTGAGATACTCTGGAGGGGTAAATGCCAAATTTGTGCTATAGCTTTTCCCATCCCTGCTGTTTTTCATAAGGCCGAAACTCGAAAGCCTAGGATTACCATCCTGCAAAATTCTAACACATCTTTTATTAATCTAATTATTGGGATGTGTATAAAAAGGGATACACAAAAACTTACCTCGTCAAAAAGAACTCTATATGCATTAAGGTCATGATAAAGAGCACGCCCTTTGCTTGTGCAGTACTCTAGAGCTTGTGCAAGATGTAGAACAACTCTTAGTCGCATTGCCCATTTCATAGGCTGTGTTTCCCCTGATTAGACACATGACTACATTATTCCACATCATAATAACTTAAGGGGTCTTGCATTTACATCAACACAAACATCACAATATGGCAAAAGCAAACATGAGATTAGAAGAGTCAGGGAGAAAACATCATGAAATCTAGACACATGCATGTAAACTTAGTAAAGACCTATCTTTTACAATGATCATATTTTGGAGAACTAAATATACTGTTTGGGTAACAGTACAAAGACTGATTCTAGAAAATTGGTATTAAAAAAGACATTGCTTCCACCATCCAAAATCAATATGGACACTTCCCAATACAGCATATTTACATAGAAGTCCTTATAGATATTGATATTCATTTTACAAGTGCACTTCTTGGTAATTTGACACTGTTTTGTATAACAATATACCTAGTAGGTTATAGTCAACCAAATCTGATAAAAGCAATTAGCCTCTAGAATTTAAATCACAATTCAAACACACACCCTAAGACTAAAATATGTTTACTTTTTATTCCTTTTCTTATAAAGTAAAAAGTACTAACAAACTAATTAAAAGCATATTGATCTATACAAGGGACTTCTAAAGAGAAAAGAAAAAAAGATGTAATTATCAAATAAAAGTTAGTCATGTTATTATAATCATAATATACTATAATAATCAACAAACATAAACCTTAAAAAAAATGGACAACATCATGAGAATTCCAAAAGAAAAATGCTAGAAATTTGGTGATGTGTGTACTAAAAGTATGTTGCACCAACAAAGCATAGTATTGACCCCACAGCAAAGCAAAAAGCAACAAAATCATAAACCATAAATTTAGCACTGATTAATTCAATGTATTAAAAAAATGTAACAAATGAACTCTTACAATGGAAAAGGTGTTTTGCCAGTGTTTCATTGGGCATATATTCTGCAACAAGCAACCTCTCATCTCCTTCACAGCAACAACCAAGCAAATTTGCCAATCTTTGGTTACGAAGCTGACCAACTGATCTTGCTTCCTCCTGCAGTTATGAAATCAATTTGTTTTGATTAATTGAAAGTAAAAGAAAAAAACGAAAGGAAAGTGTAGCAGCACAACTAAATGCACACCAATAACACACATGAACGATGAAAACTTAAACATCTAGGAATAACAACAGAATTTATGATAACAACAAATTACTCAAGATTATACATTTATTGTAAATTAGAAAATCTATTGTAAATGTATATATAAAAGTTTAGTTATTTTAGTAGGCTCACTATCACTATGTTAGTGAGTTTTGCAACTTGTAATTAAATGGTATTTAACCTATTCATTTGAGCTTCAAAATATTGTTGAAAGTTGTGCAATATTGTTCATCATCCTCTTCCTTAGTTTAAGAGATAAAAGCTATATACAGATATAATGTTAAGTATTAGGCACACTTGCCTATTAACAAAATTGCAAATTGATGAGACAACATGAGAAGAATATATAGGATAGCTTATTATCATTTGCAGACTTGATTATGGTAGAAAAAGACAGATAGATAACTTCTATGATTTCTTTATCATTATCACAGATGACTCGCTGGCACCAGTCTACATGGAGTAATTCAAAGTAGAAAAATAATTCATTTATGCATGCAAGGTCATATCAAAGTTGAACAAGAAATCAACTGGGACAGGCGAATTTACCAAAAACTGCCGAGCATCAGGCCAAGCATTCCTGTTAAACCGCTTAACGGCGATTCTCGTTTGATTCTCCAGCTTTCCTTTATAAACAACATTTGGAGCCTTCTCTCCATGTTCGGATACAATGTTTTCAACAGCAAAACCAGATGTTGCATTCTTAAGTTGCTCAAGTGTAAATTCACGAAATGTAGGCCAATTACTGACCTCACTACTATCCTCAATTTCTGGAACAAAATTTTTAATAAACATATATCATATTTCCTCTGGAACTATATAAGACACTAGAGTATAACTTTACCCACCAGCATGTGGAGTTTCAACAACAGATGCCTTAACTTGTGAATCCACACAGCATGGCATGAGTCTGGAACACTGAATACCCATTTTGGTAGGCTGAAATCAAACTTGAAGCAATGACAATCTCTTCCACTTTCAATTATGTGCCTTAACTGAAAATGTTTGAAATAACAACAGTCAATCTTATCAACCCAATGCACTGTCACAAGACAAATTCATATTTGGCTTTGATGACTGGTTACTACTTATGTATCTGTATCAAAGCTAGTATTGTCTGTGAATCAGTTCAAAAGCTTTCCGAAAGTGAACGAAAATCATTTTGATCATAGCACAAATTATGTGTCAACATGATCTTCAATTATTACAATACAATGAACCAAACAATTGAAACAGCATAATATGTAGATTCTGTACTTGTTTTTCAGATTTTATGAACATCAAGAATCTTTTGGAAGGAATAAGTTGCTGAGAAAAATTAACAATCTATAAAAACACAACAAACCTAAAAGTACTTCTTCATTTAAACATAAAGTGGAAAACAAGTACTTTTTGTAGACAAGTTCATGTTCTCACAACTAAAACAAATGACAGCAACAACCCCAATTAAGATGCTCTTTTAGTATGACAGTCTAACTACTACCACCTTAGCATTAAAAGCTGAAGAACATCAGACACCAAGATTTACTGCATTCCTCCAACTGTGTAAGTAAAAATAAAACACAAGCGCTCATATGTTGAAGATTTAATAGCCTACCTACTAATATCTTAACATTTATCTTTTCTATCTTCTTCTTTTGGTATTTTTTTTTTTTGAAGTCAACTAGTTTCACTCAAGTCTTCATAACCAGAACGCTGACTGATAAAGCAACCGACTTTTTCAATCTACTCAAAAGGCTACTTCACCTTTTAAACTTCTTCTAACCTTCTCCAATGGCAGCGGAAAAAGTTGAAACACCTGGAGCTAAAAAAATGTGTCTTTTCTTCTTCTTTTCTTTCCTTTCTCGATCAAATCAACCTTTTACAAGATCCACATTTTCTTCTCCAAACGTCTTGCAATCTGCAAAGTTCAAGTCTTTCCCTCAATCCAACCACACCCAAATAACCTTTTCTCCTCAAAAAAACAGGATTTTACAAAATCACCCCCTCTCAGGTTCCAACAGATCAAGTGAAATACTCAAACCCCACAATAAAAAATAATAATAATAAAAATCAGCTTTTAACAAAATCAGTCTGGGAGGAGAAAAATACAAGTGTTGGATGAGAAACTCAAAGCTGAACTGAAGATCTGTTGAGAAGCAGAAGAATAAGAAGATGTTGATGAATGATAGAGCTATGGCTTTGGTTTTCTGACATTTTCTTTTTTAGCCTTTTTGGATTCAATAAATAAATAAACAAATAAATATAAACAAATCAATTATTACCGACATGTCATGAGTGTATGTCATGAGTATATATTCAAGATCAGGAATCTGCATGTTCTTTAAACCATTTTTTTATTAATAATTTGTTGGCACAACACATTTGCCTGTGTGTTTTATTTTATTTTATTATTTCCAGTGTCCTCAAGTTTTACTTTTTATTGTTAAAAATTCTTATATGATAGATGGTTGATTACAGTAAAATATTATTTGCAATATTAATAAATAACATAAATTATTTATGGATATATAGTTATAATCTAATAACTGGTAGTTTCTTTATATTCAAATACTAAATTTTGAGTCATTACTCCTACAACTTAAACTTAATTATTACTCTTCAATCTTAAAATTAACTAAATACTTAGTCAAAGATTGATTTTATATATATATATATATTCCACCGCCAATTGTTTGTGAGGATTATCTGGCATGGCTAAAGCTTATCAAGTCAAATATTTATTGCTGGCATATCAACAATCAATGTGTGCATTTTACAAAACCTAAAGAAAAGATAAAGGAAAATGCTACCAATCAATGTACCAAAGTGTTCAAGTAAATTGAATTTTAGTGTGATAGATTTTATTTTAATATTAGGTGATACACCATCAAACTAAATGTGAAACATTTATTAGGAACTCCAATTATAAATTATAAGTCATGGCTTTGTAAAAGGTTAATTCCTTTCAATATCTCCAGTCTCTATTAGTAGATCTAAGTCTTTTTAATAATAATAATAATAATAAATAATTTTGAAAATATATTAAAATTATTTTCTTCTCATATTTTGTTATGAAATTTTTGTCGATAAAGAATTTGTATCATCAAGTTTTGAAATCTCCTTTTAATTAAAGTTATGTACGTGGAACTAGTTAGTAATATTATATAAGATATCTAATCATATGAAACATAATTAATAAATTATTTTTTAAGCATTTTTTATTTTTTATGTATTTGTCATAACTTAAATTTTAATTCTAAAAATGTTATAAATTAATTTTTTATTTTTGAATACATAAAAATGACCAATTAGAGGTGTTTCAAATCCAATTCCATAAAAAGAAAATTAAAAAAAAATCAATTGAAAAATGTGTTTCTGCAAAAATTAAAATTAACTTATCTATAATAATTTCTTAATTAATACTAAATACGATGAGTTGAGTTAAAAATAGATTTTTTTTTAACATTTTGATTTTTATATTTTGCTTTTGTCATTTATTCACGCTACTGACCCCAGCAAATATTATCAAAAACTCAATGTCAAATGAAAACGTTAAATTCATATGAGAAATGGACCATTCATATCAACCTTAATTTTGATAATTTATTGATTGAAGTTAAAAATGTTTTAAATAAAATATTTAATTATTTAAATTTTATTTAAAAAATATTATTATCGTTGTGCACTTAGGTCTTAATATTGTGAAGGAGATTAATTTTATCTAATAAGAAGTAAAAATATTAAGTTTGTCTTTACTTCTTTTTAAAAATATTCTGCAAGTAAAATTAGTGTTTTGCATTTGCGACACGTATTTTTGCATGCATGAATTATTAAAAAGAAAAATTAATCTTTACTAGTTTAAGATTATCATACTATGTTTTATTTTTTTAATTAAATTTTTTTATAAACATCGAGTAAAGTTTGTAAGTATTTTTCAGATATTTTATTTACAGAAAATTAATTAAAAGACAAGGGAAGATAGTTTTTAATTATTTATTACTTAAGGATAAATGATCTAGATTAGTGAAAGTAATTTGATCAAAATGTTTAAAATGTAAGAATTTATATGTTGGTTTATGATAATTGAATTATAATACAATTTGAATTAATTGTGATGTGAATTAAGTATCATGATTATTGTATACACCCAATAATAATAATAATAAAATTATGTCAGTTCAATTATAACAAGTTGTAACGAAAAAAATAGAAACATGTTAGGATTATTTTTGTGTGATTTTGAATGTGGTATTTATAAACATTTTATAAATTTCTACTATTTATATAACTGGCTTAAATAATTTTGTCACTTGATTTTTTTATATAATTTCTATTCTTTATCAAATTAATGTTATATTCTTTTATAAATCCTAATTATTCATTTAAAAATTTGGTTATTTTTATCCAAACAAATATGAAATATATACTTGTATATTTATTCATAAGTGAAATCAAATTATTCAAATAATGGTTGAAGATTAAAATGACGTTTCAATAATAAAACTCTTAAAAAAGATAATTATTTTAACCTTATTTAGACAACTTGGTATAAAGTTTATATTCAATTGTTGGTAAAAACTTTTAGGTATTGTACAATTTTAAAGGGACACACTATTTTATATGAACTAGATGAGGTACTTGTTTTTATTCTAACGATGATGTTAACTTCAATATGCATTGTGACAATAAAAGGAGACAAAAGTTAAAATCAACTTTATCTATTTATTTTCCTAAAATTTAAATATAATCTTAGAGATAAATGGTACGATGAATGATTTTGTACGTAAATTAACGTCAATAAAAAATGTAACTCCAATAATTTAAATTGAATTCCAAGGTTACAGCGCAGTGTTATTTGTTATCTAATTATAATACTTATATATTTTATAAAATTAGATACTACAAATTTTACATTAGTATATCTAAGATTACAAAAGGAAATTTTTATTTGTTAGTTTCATTTAATTGGTCAAACCGAGAATTAACATGGAATTAATTGCTTTCAAACCAATACAAAACTGGTAAAAGCAGTAAAAACGATAAAATTAATTAGTTTTTGAGTAAAAAAACAAATTAAGATCACAACTGTTTATTTTTTAAATATAATTTTTTTTATAAAAGTATAATAATTTTTATTTTTTTAATTATTTTATTTATTTTATACTAATCACATCAATTTTTAATAATAATTATTTTATCATATTTTTATATTATTTTAATTTTTATTTGACTTTTTTTATTTATAATTTATAATGACTATAATAATAATTTTTATTATTTATTTATTTTTAATTATTATTATTATTAATAAATTTATTAATTTATAAAAGTATTATTTATTAAATTCAATTAAAATACTAATTAAAATTGTTAATCCTAAATACATAATCTAATTTTAAAAACATTATATTTTTAAAGGTTTTTTTAGGATAAAATGTGAATGCGTAAATAAATTATATTTATATTTATGTTAGTTAAATTATGTAATTATTTTGGATTCTTTTAATATTTGTTTTTTATTAAAAAATATTTGTTATTATATAATTTAGAAATATTATCTTATAATTTCTGCCAATTAATAAAATATAAACTAATTGTAACATTATTTTGTTTTTTAAAATTATTTTGTAAAGTATTTTAATAAAATAATATAAGACTTCTATTTTAAAATTATTTTTGAATTAAGAATATAATTATAAAATAACTATAAATTGGTTTTTAATAAATATAAAGCATTTAGTATCTCAATCAAACTTGGGTATTTAATTTCTTCTATCCAAATAAAAACATAAATAGAAGTTAATTTAAAAAGATGTTTTAAAAATTTGTATTTTATATTTTTTTCTAAAAAACAATTTTGAAATGTATTTGAATATATTTTTATATAAAAAGAAACATTTTTTTTTTGAAAATAAGAAAAACGACTCTCTAAATATTAAATAATTGAATAATTATGTTCCAAAGAAAATGAACTAAATCAAATTTTTAGGCTAGGGTTTAAATGATCATAACCCTAGCTCCTTATTCCTTAGTTCATTGTTGGGATTAAATTGAGCAGGAACAATGTCGAAGAAGAACAACCTCGCCAAGAGAAAGAAGCAGCACGAATTCGATCTCCAAAGTAGTTTCATCTTTGATTTCTCCCCAACTCAGTCTGACGTTTCAATATTCATGTTCTGATTTTCGTATTTGTGGTGATTTTCTTTCAGGGGAGAAGCAAGATAAGCAAAAGAAAGAGCAAAAGCTCCATGCGAAGAAAAACATAATGAAAGTTAGTGTTCGATTCTCAACTTTCCAATTTATTAACGTCTTATTTGTTTGTGGTTAAAAAGTTATGGATTTTTTGGTTTGAGGTTTCCTATGTTTCGTTTCGGTTTTTTATGAAGAAAGGTGTTAACTTTTTATGCGAGAGAGTTGGACGTTGAATGCTGAGGATAGTCAAACTTAAACTCTGTCATTCTTCTTAATTGATTGAACGGTTTAATAACCAATGATGGTTATCCATTGGGTTTTGATTTATAGCTGAAGGGGCTAGTTTCTAATGTGACGAACTAAGGTTTAAATTTTCATTAATAGAGATACCCACGTTCAGTCCACATTGACACGGACAGGATTAACTCCAGAGGTGAATACCCTGTCGAGAGAAAAAACAAAGGTTGAAAGCTGAATTAGGATAAACAGATAACTTTGGACTCGAAGGATAACAAAAAAGTAGAGATAGTTTGAATGCTGTTTTTGTTTACATGTGTATGTATGTTTGTGTTATAAAGATTAATTGTCATTTGTATGGTTTTGTTTTTGCTGGGTATTCAGGTTGATGGTAGCAACAAGAAAAAGAGTGGGAGTGGATTTCAGGTGGGGAAGAGAAAAGTGAAGGTCAAGATGACTGCCCTTGCTAAAGCTAAGGCTGCCCAGGCAATGGAGCTTGACAACTGAGGTTTTACATGTGTAATTTTTCGCAATGATTGATAGATATGACGTTGTTGTTTTAAGATTTAACTTGTTCTGTTTTGTTCTGTTCTGCTATATACGTAGAACTATGGGAGTGTAAGCTGTAAATTATGGAACCAAATATATTATAGTAGTTATTATCTATCTTTTACAATTTTTGGTCCAATCAACCGCTTACTGTTACTTCTACATCTTTTAATTATTTGATACAATTTTGTACTTAGTGTGTTATTTATGCTTTACTTCTACTTGTATTTTCCTCTTGAATGAAGCAACTTTTTTGAGGCTAATGAAACAAATCCTTTCTCAGAATCTCTGATTTGACATTATATTCTACGTGTGCCAAAGTAAGAGATTTAGATTTTAGGCACTGATAGAATAGGTGTCTTATGGATGTAGATATCATTAGAAAGGTTTCATGTCCAAAAGATCTCCTTGGTTCAGTAATTGTATTTGATTTTGAGGTAAAATGATATACTTCTCTATAAATCTAAACTTCAAGCGGTTTAAACTCTTCATTTCAAGCAAGTCAGCGGTGTGGTTGGTAAACAGTTCCTTGTATTATAAGATAGAACAGTTTTTGTGGAAACGAGATACCAGTAAAAAGGCAATGGATTCTATTCTATGCCATGACTATGGAAGAAATGTGCAGATTAGAAGCTGTAGATTCTATTCTATATTTCTTTTATTCATTTTTGGAATATGCTCCATTTGTAATATATGTGTGAAAAATTCAAGAACGAAGGATATTGATTTCTTAGACTTATTCCTTTATGAGAGAAGTGGAAACAAAAGGCAGTGTAATAAGAAAATGAAAGAAACTGGTAAAGAAAATAACTTGAGAATAAAACTATATTTTACTATGAATAAATAAATAAATTACTGGTTTCATCTCATTCTCCTGGGATTAGAGAGGAACCAAAATGGTGATGAGATTGGATGGCGCGGGTTATGGTTTCATGTACGTTGTTGTCCAAAAATCTCTAGTTATATTTCTTGTTTAATTGTAACCTAATTTTAATCCCTTTTTAAATGGGTTATTATGCTTTAGACCTAGAATCTTTGGGCCAGGGTTTGAGATTTTGTATTATGTCCATTAAATGATTTGATTTTCCCTGAATTAGATTTGTGGTGATAAATTATAATCTTGGATGAGATTTTTTGAATCACATCCTTAAGAAAGAATATTGTAGTGTGATTGAACGGTTAGATCGATCATACAATAAGCTAATTTATTTGAATATTATATAGCCTTTTAGCTTCAAGTCCGACGTGGGGTTTGAAATAAGTCATCACCATGTTAATATGTCATAGTTCGGTTATAAGGCGAGATTTTTCATTCAACCACCATATAGATCCCAACCTCAAGTTAGAGATGATAAGGCATTAACAATGATATTATGTCGAGTCGCTTAACCCAACTATTATACTAATAATCAAAGTATGATATTATCGTACCTTATGTTATTGTGTAGAGTCGTCTGATCTCAAAGGTTATTGTGTAAAGTTGTTCGATCTTAGGGTCATTGTGTAGAGTCGTCTTATCTTAAAGGGTCATCATGTAGAGTCGTTTAATCTCAAAGGGTCATCATATAGAGTCATTCGATCTCAAAAGGTCATCATGTAGAGTCGTCCGATCTCAAAGGGTCATCATGTAGAGTCGTCCAATCTCAAAGGGTCATTGTACAGTGTCGTCCAACCTCAAGGGTCATTGTATAAAGTCGTTCGATCTCTAACATATTTACTTAAAAGTTTATAATCCCAAATATGAATAAAACTAGGCGTTGCCTCTTACCAAAATTAGGTGATTCATAACGCAAAAATATTGTTTGAAGATCAAAGCCTCTCATAATCTTCATCATATTTTCTCAAATGATAAAGTCCCCTTAACATCTTCCCATTTTATATTGAAAATGGAAAATAATATCAAAGGTGACATAATTTTAATTGCTTGGTACAAAATATTTATAGAAGTTGTATAAATAATAATAATAATAATAATAATAATAAATAAAAATATACTTCAATTTTATTTGTTATGTGTTGATTGGAGATGGTTATATATTATTCATGAAAATTTGATATTTGAGTTTATATAGATATTATGTTTGCAACATTTTTTAAATCAATTATCAAGATGTGATCAATGAATCAGAAGATTTATTATGTTTGTAACCTTTTCTAAATTAATTATCAGGTGATCAATCAATCAAAAGATTTATTATGATATTTTTTTCTTTCGTGAAAGTATTTATCTTATTATCTTTCCATATAGGTTTTTTGTTCTTCTCATTCTTCTTGACTTTTTTTGTTTCTCTTTCCTGTATTATAAGATATTTTACTATTTTTCACGTACGCACTAAATTTTTCAGATTTTGATAAACTATATTTCTTGTTGGGTGACCTTAGTTGTAACCTAATTCCAAATTCTTTTTCAATGGGTTATTATGTTTTGGATCTATAATCTTTAGATCAAAACCTAAAATTATGTTATTATGTCAATTAAATAACTTAATTTGAGATTTATTGTGATAAATTATAATTTTAAATAAGATTTTTAGAATCTACCGTAAAAGAGAAGATATGGAGAGATCAAATCGTTAAATTAGTCTCACGCTAATTTATAGGTAATTTATCTGGAGACTAAAATTCAAATAATGAAACATAATTACTTTTAAACATCTATTGTCAATTATATAAATTCATAATTCATATGCAAATCAGATTTTCTTATTTTTCTCTTCATAGACCAAATCTAAACGCTTGTACTTATGTTTTTTAAGCATAAGTTAAGGAAACTCACCTTATATATATATATATATATATATATATATATATATATATATATATATATATATATATATATATATATATGAAATCAATTTTATGAAACAAAGTCACACCTAGAAGATAGTAGGGTGTTCAAGGACTTAACACTTTCAAGCGATTTTGGGTCATACCTGCATGAATGAACTGAGCCCAGAATTGCACAAGCCTTAGTAATCCATAAAAACAGTTGATATTTACACCTGTCAGTTTTATCTAAACACTTTGTTTTTTATATATGTTTTTAAAATGTTATTCTTTTGTGTAAAAAGTGGTGTTGGAGCGTGCTGTTGTATGAAATTTGATTGAATTTTGAAATATGAAAGAGTGGCAACTTGCATTAAAGAGATGGTGACCACACATTGCAGACAACCTCATATGTCAACACCACTTGGACATGACATGACACAATGTTAACAAGTTATTCCCCCTTCCTTCATTGTCTTCAATATTCATCACACGCTTTGCTTCACAAAATCAATGTCACAATAAACCCAACTACACTCTATATATATATGCCTATATTACCTCACCTACATTTTTTACCAACACCAAGAGTTTAAATTCTTATATTCCTTATTGTTTTTAAGTTATAGCTTTTACATAAACCTGTTATTCAAACCGAATTTTAAGAATAAAAACAAGTATAATAATTTAATTATTTTTTAAAATTATCAAAAATAGTGTAAATAAAAGTTACTAGTGTGAGTTGTTTATAGCAACGATATTAAAAAGGTCAAATTTGTAAAAATAAAAACTGGATTGCTTATGAACTCTTCTTAATGTTGAAGACAGTATTTACTATAAAACAATGATTATGTTATGATATTATTTGGTTGTAGAAAAACGAAGGAAAGTGTTGGTTTGGTTGTAAATTATCTTCTGTTATCTATTTTATCAGTAATAAAAAAATTATTATTTAATAGAGATTTTAAAAGAATTTATGAAATACTCATTAGTGAAAATTTTGATTGAATTTTTCCTGTTAAAATTTAGTACATAGTGGTTTTCTATTTTTCGAATCCAAATATTTTTTTTGTATATCCTTTATTTTTAGGACTTTTATTATCATTTATATATAATGGAGAAGAAGTGTGACATTTTTGCTTCTACTTTATTTCCGTGATCTCCCCGACGAAAATTTATATTTGAATATCAATTATGCCTTCAATACAATTATACCAAATTTTATAATAAATATTATTTTTAAAATTATGATAATATAATTAACATTCATTATTAGATTTTAAATATTTTTTAAAATTTTAATTTATTGTGATTTTCATTTTAATAAATTTTAATTATTATTTTTAATTTTTAATTAATTATTATTTTGTTTTTAATAAAAATAAAATCGTAATGAGTTATTCCATATATTTTTAATTCTCTTACTTTTCTTTCCCTTTACATTTATATTGTGTTTAATATATAAAGATAGATTTATAATTCATGTCATTGATTTTACTTTCATTAGAATTTCTATTTATTTATTTGGTTTAGTTATAAAATTTAATTATTTTTATGCTTGTTTCATATAATTTATACAATTGATTATTGTTATAATAAATTTTTGAAAAATTATATTTAAATGTCTTAGTGATTTTGTTTTTAGTAATTTGTTTTGTCTGAATTGTTTTAAAAAAAATCATGACAAATTTTGTAAAGGCACCAAATTATTTGTAATAGTTAGTTTTTGTATTAAAATTAATTAATGGTTGGAGATCAAATGAGAAAATAAAAAAAAAGCTAAAAAATAAACATTTAAAATTGTAATAATTGAATTAAATATTATCACCTAAACATATATTGTTAAGTATATCAATATTCTAAATATTTACGATAACTATTTTCAAAGTCATATTAAAATAATTAATAATTAATTAACATTGAAGGTAGTAATAAATGAAAATTAAATCCAACTTGTAGTCATAATTCAATGAAATATTTTATCCTCAGTCCATTCTTTCACGTGCCGTTCTATTTCACTACCGACAAACATTCAAACACATTCCAAAAATTTATGAACAAACATTCAAACACAACCCAGAGTTATAAACACTACAGTTAGGGATGAGTTTATTTATTTGCTACATTCAACAGGTATTCATAAATTATTTAAATTAACTCAAAAATTTTCATTTTAGTTTGAGAAAAAAATTGACTAAAAACCACATTTTATAGGGAAAAAAAAATCTAAAGCATATCTAACACACATTTTAATAAACTTATATACAGTTATTAAACTTAATTAGCAATATATTTAAAACTGGAAATTAATTGTGTCAAAAGTAATCTTATTCACACCTTTGAAGTAGACTTATCCTTAACATTATGAAAGAGGTTTGTTTTGTGGACCAAACGAAAAAGTTAGGAAACTGTCTCTTCCTGTTTTTTGTTTTTTATCCTCAAAATCTAAGTGAATCATTATGAAACATTTTCAGTCTATTTATCCTCCCCCTTTTGCTATTTTAATTAGGTAAAGTGAAATTGTAATTATATGGTCTCATAATTTGTCTCTTTCTCTATGCATAGGTGAATATAAATCAATTCACCATTCACTTTTAAGAAAACATTAGGTTTCTTCATTTGGTTTATTCATAACTTTGTTCTAATTATTAAGTAATGATAGGTTAAAGCTAGTATTAGGATTATTAAGTAATGAATTTGTTTGGTTCTTAGAAGAAAAAAAAAAGTGGATGGAGTTCCTAATGAATAACACAAGTAGGGTTTCATAGTCAAAGAAATACTCATTTTTTTGAGAACTTTTTTGTATACCAAAAGACACCACTTATTCCTCCAACAAATAGAGGTTGAAGGTTGCCTCATCACCCAACATAATTTTGCTCTTTCAATTCACACCTCATATTTTTCTTTCTCCATATACGCTTTACCATTATATATTCAAAGTGGATGTAAAAGGAAAAATAATGAAAAAAATAATAATGTAAAAGTAAATTAAATATAAATCATACTTAAAGAATTTAAACAAGCAAGACGTAAAATTTTTCTTGATAATTTTATTATAATTTGCTTTCTTATACTAAGATTGTCTCGAATTTTCTTTAAAAAAAAATTATAATTTTGTGAGCACTCTAAATAAATTTTCTTTACTAATTATAAAAAAACTGAAAATCTAAAATGGTTTTATCAACCAATTCAAAAATAGTTATTAAATTATTTTATTTTACTTTAACAACAAAGGTTAAATTTTTATATGAATTTGACACATGTACTATGTTTCAATTGACTTATTAAATTATGTGAAATCACATTGAAAAAGAAGGAAAGGAAAACATCCTAAGAGAAGTGTAATTATATCACACATATAATGAAAGAAAGGAAAACCTTGCCCCAAAAGCAATGTCCTTGTCAACACAAAAATAAGAACCATTCCCCAAAACACCTAATATTATTATTATACACATGAAAGTTTTGAGGAAGAAGCATATATATGGACAATGACCATATTTGCTACTATAATTTGTGAAGGAAAAAAAAAAAACCCTAAGGACTAAGGACAACATTGGATTAACATGTGGACAAATGAGGTTGTGAAAGGCAATATAAAAACCTTAAAGTTGTGTTCCAAGGTTAGGATATTATACTATAAACTCAGATCAATGTACTTCCATATATGGAATAGAGGAATCTAATTCATGATCCCATGTGGCCCAAATCAACCATTTTTTTTTTCTTTTTTAAATTCTATCTTCTTCAAATTAGACACTCAAGAACAGACAGATTCTGCACGCAACTTCTCCATTATTTATTTTAATGGGTTTGGGGAGAGAGAAACACACCACATGCTCAAAATCAACACATGATAATTATTAAAAAAATAAAAACTAAGAAATTCATTTTTGAAATTAAAAAATATTAACTCTAATAAGTTGTTAATATGAGTGGAATTGTACTCTGTCTCCATAACCAAGGTTTCGAATTTGAATTGTATAAAGAGAAATATGATTTCAGAGTTTTACTTTTTTATTTTATATATATTTAATTTTTTTTAAAATTATATTTGCATGACTATGAGTACCTACTCAAACACTGTCGCAATTATTGACCTCTGAACAAATATGATAGTCAACAATATAATTTTAAATAAAAAGATGTCATTTTGATAGCACGTTTAGTACTTCAGTGGGGTCAATTTTTGACAAATTATTTTTCTTTGAAATTTTTAAAATTGCTGAAAAGATAGTACCGTTAATTGATCTCTCTCTTCATGATTGCTTTTGTTTTTCAGTGATGTCAATTTTATTTTATTTTTTTCATTTACTTTTTTTTTTCTTTAAACCGTGCAACGCGAGAAGTTGAGAATATCAATTTTAAGAATTTATTATCCATGTTCTTATATTTCTTTTAGGTTATTTCATGAATTATTGTAATGACATAACATTTTTGTCTAACAAACATTCTACCTAGTAATTGCACTGCAACTTTTGCTGGTGTACTTTCTTAATCTTAACTTCAATTTCCTATAGGCTTTGTTTGGATGGAGTGATTTGAGAGAGTGGAAATGAGAGAGTGGAAAAGGATGGATTTGAAGAGAAATGGAGATGATTAAAAAGTGAAGGAAAAGTTTATGGGAAATTGTGAATGATTTGATTGATATGAGATATAAAAATTATAATTTTATGTTGATTATTTAAGAAAATTACCATTTTACCCTTTGCATGGGTGTTGTGCATTGAAGGAACCTCCTAGATATGTAGGCTAATCCAAATAAATAATAAAAATATTAAAAAAAACATATTAAAAACATTTGTTTTTTAAATATAATGTTATATATTTATAATTACTAAATATATATAAATATTTTTTTTAAACTGTGTTTATAATATAATTATTTTATACTTATAATATATTTATACTAATTAAAACATGATAACAAATGTCTTTTGTAATTTTTTTTAACTATAATATTGAAATTTATTTATGAATATGAGAAAAAATGAAGTAAAAATATGACAATAAATATAAAAGTTATAACAAATATTTTGTTAAATAAATATTTAATAAATTTATACTAATAAAATTTATAAATATCGATTATAAATTAAGATTCAGTCTCGGGTTGCATTTCGCTCGAGCGACTATATCTCGTTCGAGCGAAAAACGATCATGATCGATCATAATTTGAAATGATCGATCATAATTTGAGGATATAATAGCGGTTCCTCTGCAACCGCTATCTAAAGTGTATATTAGATAGCGGTTCCAGTGGAACCGCTATCATATACAACCATATTTTAATTTCTTCGAGTCTCGGGTTGTGTTTCGCTCGGCGACCATATCTCGCTCGAGCGAAAAGCGATCCTGATCGATCATAATTTGAAATGATCGATCATAATTGGAAGCATATAATAGCGGTTCCTCTGTAACCGCTATCTAAAGTGTATATTAGATAGCGGTTCCAGTGGAACCGCTATCATCTACAACCATATTCATAGGGATCTTGCATCAAACATTGGATGCATTCGTCCCCATGTTTGCGAGAATGAGGCAAGAAGGAGCCCGGAAGCAAAGGCGAGCCAAAGCTTCTCAAAGAAAGACAAAACGAGTGAGCAAATCCTAGGAGCATACAAATACACTTGAATTGGATTGGGTATCATCCTTATAACTCCATCATATTTCGCAATCATGGAGAACGAGTAATATTAGAACGAGTGGATCTCATCCCGGTAAAAACTCACTCGTCGGAGAGTGTGGAATGGATACTTATCAACGAAACGGTGGCATTATTTTTCCCTCACAATTAGAGGGTTTTCCCACACAAAATTTGTTTTAGAAACTCCATGCTTACCATTATTGCTTCACTAAACGCTCTGTTATCATTATGCATCAAATAAGGAATTAAATGGGGGAAAATAACAATTTTTGGAACCTTCACGATAAATCGGTGACAACTCATCCTGGAACAATGGCATTGACGTGCATGGTTGAGTGAGAAGCACCCCATTGCATCTTCGGTATGTGAAAAAGTAGAAGCAACCTAGGGGTAGTAGAGGTGGCGATGAAGGTGCGAAAGTAACGAAGTGTGTGTGAGAGAGATGAATGTGAATGTAAGAGAAACATAGAAAAGGAGGGAGAAGCGATGATACCTTATGGCTGGAAGCTGTTGCAGACGAGAGAAGTCTCGGGTTATGTTTCGCTCGAGCGACTATATCTCGCTCGAGCGAAAAACGATCTTGATCGATTAGATTTAAGAAATGATCGATCATAATTGGAGGATATAATAGCGGTTCCTCTGTAGCAGCTATCTAAAGTGATATATAATAGCGGTTAAGATTTAACCGCTATTAGAAGTGATATATAATAGCGGTTAAGTTTTAACCGCTATTACAAGTGCTATTATAATAGCGGTTAAGATTTAACAGCTATTACAAGTGCTATTATAATAGCGGTTAAGATTTAACCGCTATCATATGGAAGAGGGTAAGTTGGACTTTTCATTATCTCCAACGAGACTTTCGTCTCTTTTCTTCGCAGATTAGCGAAGAAAGTCTCTCTCCCTCTCCCCCTTTTCCTCGCTTTGCATTTCTTCGCAAATCTGTTCAATCAAACGTGGGTGAATCTCGTGTTTGTCTTCGTGAACAGTATTTCCTCGCAAATCGGTTCAAACAAACACGACGTTAGGCTTTGTTTGGATGGAGTGATTTGAGAGAGTGGAAATGAGAGAGTGGAAAAGGAGGGATTTGAAGAGAAATGGAGATGATTGAAAAGTGAAAGGAAAGTTTATGGGAAATTGTGAATGATTTGATTGATATGAGATATAAAAATTATAATTTTATGTTTATTATTTAAGAAAATTACCATTTTACCCTTTGTATCAAATAAGGTTCAAATGATTATAAATATAATTTTTTAATTAATTATCCATATTTTAACATTGATTATATATTTAAAAGAAAAAACAAATTTAAAAGTGTTTGTAATTGGAAACAAATTTAAAAAATTAACTTTTTTTAGATAGTTATTAAAAATTATATAAATAAACAATTACAAAATTATGTACATTGCATATCCATATTCAAATAATGTTGACATATTAAATAAATTATTTGACTAATAATTAAATAATTATAAAATATAAAATAATAATTAATATTGATTTGATAATAACAAATAATTATGAAAACTAATAATATAATTGTACATTATTATTTAAAACAAATATAAAATATAGTGAAAATAGAATAATAATTAAAGGAAAGATTACTAAAATTATAAATCTATGCACACTAATGTTCTTCAAACAAATAATTATAACCACTACCTAAAGTTTTCAAATGATCGATTATTTTGCCAAAATGAGCGATCACAGTTCCAAAACGTCGACACTTTAGATAGCGGTTCACCTAAAACCGCTATTACAAGTTATATTTAGCTTGAGCGACAGTAAACTCGCTTCGGCGAAGACACCTGCACATAATTTTCATCCTCGGGTTATTTTACGCTTGAGCGAAACTGATCTCGCTCGAGCGACTAGCAAAGATCTCGGTGATTTGATGAAGTCAAAGATAAAGTCAAAACGCATTTCAATCGATTAAAACGCATTTCAATCGATTAAAATGACTTAGAAAAATTACATGCAGGGTTTTAATCGATTAAAACTTCTTTGTATCAATTAAAATAACTTGAAAAGTGTTATAAGAAAGTTTTAAAGCTGAATCAATCGATTAAACCGCGAATCAATCGATTAAATCACTCTTAGAAAATATTTGTAAAAAGTTTTAAGCGATAAAAACTTGGTCGTATCGGCTAAAACAATTATGTTAAAGAACAAGAACGCATTAATGGGTTGAAAGGACTTTTAACAGATTATAGCAGCTATTTCAACGATTAAAACAAACTTTGAACAGCTTGCTCTCTAATCCCACTGCTGATTGGATTGAGCTGAAAAAGCGGAGCTTAGGTAAGCTACAACAACTCTCAAAGCGTGAGCTCATAAGTCGTATTTCAGCTCGAGCGACTATATCTCGCTCGAGCGAAATATGATCCTGATCGATCATAAGTTGAAATGATCGATCATAATTGGAAGGATATTATAGCGGTTCCTCATGTAACGCTATCTAAAGTGTATATTAGATAGCGGTTCCAGTGGAATCGCTATCATATACTAACCATATTTTAATTTCTTGAGTCTCGGGTTGTGTTTCGCTTGAGCGACTATATCTCGCTCGAGCGAAATATGATTCTGATCGATTAGATTTTTGAAATGATCGATCATATTTCATAATTTTTTCAAATAATTAATTCTAATCGATTATTTTTCTAAATTATTGATTAGAATTGATTAGTTTTTCAAATAATAGCTTAGAATTGATTAATTTCAAAATATATATTAAAAAATTATAATTAAAAATATAGATTATTTAAGAATATTAACTATTGTAAAGATAAAGTAGAACATGGGAGGAGATGAGGATGATAATATAATGATAGAAGTTACAAAAATTTAGCATTGAGAAGTTTGAAACAAAAAAAATTAAGAAAATAGAGATTTAATTACACTTTTAATAAATTGAAGATAATTACAATATAATTTTCTAATTTGAGAATGAACAATATAATTAAGAAGATCAAGTGTAATGTTATTGATGCTAATTTTAACAATAATACAATAATATTATTTTGGAAAATGCCCATATTCATGTGAATATTTTGATTATTATTATATAAAATAATTAAAAGAATAAGGTAAATAGAAAAGTAAAATGCATGGTTATACCACTTTCCTTTTAATCTATAATTAGTTAGGTATGAATCAAATGTAAAGTCTAATGTTATTGATGCTAATTTTAAGAAGATCACAAAATGTTAATTAAATAACTACAATATAAATTTCTACTTTGAGAATGAACAATATAATTAAACTCAAAATTGAGAATACTCTTATACATTTTTGAACTCTTTTGGATAAATTTTGTTTTCCTAATTTTTGATAAAGTTAATTTTAATATTTAAAAGTATTTAACATTTTGAATTACGAAAGGTTTTCTCTAATAGCAAATTTAAAAACATAATATTCAAAAAAATATTTTAAGATTAGATCTCGGGTTGCATTTAGCTCGGCGACTATATCTGCTCGAGCGAAAACGATCTTGATCGATCATAATTTGAAATGATCGATCATAAGCTGGAGGATATAATAAGCGGTTCCTCATGTAGCAGCTATCTAAAGTGTATATTAGATAGCGGTTCGAGTGGAGCCGCTTATCATATACAACCAAATTTTTAATTTCTTGAGTCTCGGGTTGTGTTTCGCTTGAGCGACTATATCTCGCTCGAGCGAAATATGATTCGATCGATTAGATTTAGGTAATGATCGATCATAATTGGAGGATATAATAGCGATTCCTCTATGTAACGCTATCTAAAGTATATATTAGATAAGCGGTTCGAGTGGAACACGCTATCATATACTAACCATATTTTAATTTCTTCAGTTCTCGGGTTGTGTTTCGCTTGAGTGACTATGTCTCGCTCGAGCGAAATATTGGAGGATATAATAGCGGTTCCTCTGTAAGCGCTATCTTAAGTGATATATAATAGCGTTTAAGATTTAACCGCTATTAGAAGTGATATATAATAGCGGTTATGTTTTAACCGCTATTAGAAGTGATATATAATAGCGGTTAAGTTTTAGCTGCTATTACAAGTCTTTGTTATAATAGCGGTTAAGATTTAACCGCTATCATATATTGCGAGAGTAACAACGACTTTTCATTACTTTCATCTCTTTTCTTCGCACCTCGATGAAGAAACTCTCTCTCTCATCTCCCACTTTTCCTAGCTTCGCATTTAAGTCGCAAATCGGTTCAACCAAACGATGGGTGAATCTCATGTTTCTGTCTTCGTGAACGAGTATTTCGTCGCAAATCGGTTCAAACAAACATGGACTTAAAGCAAATTTCATTCTCATGTACTGTGATTGCAAGATAATTAGTCTCTATATTGACATAACACCAAGGAAAATGTCTCCTAAATATTGCAAATATGTTTTATTTGATTTATATTTGTGTTTTTTTAATATATGAAAAAAATTAATGATACTTAAACTATTAAACTTATTTATGATTATATTAAACTTTAAGCTTTGTTCTATTATGATTGAACTTTAAACTTTTTAACATGTTTTTATAATATGAATATATGAAATATATTCATCAATTTTAAATCTTATTTTATAATATGAAATATATATTATATATTTTTCATCAATTTTAAAATAGATCTTACTTATTGATACAAAATAATTTTTATATATAAGATAAGGGATAATAATTTTTATAGCTGAGATTTAATTTAAAAATACTTAAGAAAATATAATTATTTTTAATTTAAAAATTTAATTCAATATTGTTTTATTTTGAGGGGATTTGAACTGATAGATGGAGCAGCAGGGAGGAAGTAGAAAATATGAAATGGTGGTGTCATAAATGAAGTGAGAGGGAGATTGGTGGTTGAAAAGAGTGTGTGAAAGACATGAAGTGGTGGGAGAGAGAGAATGCAAGATTATGCAGAGGAAGTTTGATAGATATTTTGGTGAGTGGAGTGAGATGGGGCATTGGC